ACTACTTCTCACTGACCGCCGCACTGAATCGAGATTTTGGCACAATCGGACAGTTTATAGCAATTATCTCGATCAGTGCATGCCCCCGGCGTTCCTGTTGGAAATTCTCCAGGTATGTACAGCGATGGGGAAAATTATTGTAGAAGTATGGTAAGAGTCCTATTGGCCAGGGCAGCCACCTAAACCCTGTTTTTAGACCCCTGTTTCTACAATAATTTTCCCCATCGCTGTAGGCATGATGGTAATATTTCGCTTCATGTGTTTATGTAGGACAGGAAGTAAGTAGAAGTACGTACGAGCCTAGTTAACTAGCTGAAAAGCAAATAACTAGCGATACCGGGTTTGTATATAGCTCTACGGATATGTGTAGGAAGGCACACGACACGGCACACACGGTGCGTCAAGAGCTTGAGTTTCCTCCCTAGGATCGGTCCCCCTTCCCTTTTTTCTTTTTTCCTTTTCTTTTTCTTTCCCTTTTTCTCATTCCCTCAGGTACGGTACGGAGATTCAGAGGGGGAATGGTTTGCGGGGAGAGAGTGTTTTTTTCGATGTGAGTGTAAAATATCCATAGGTCGGAATGTATTTCACAATTTTGATGTCCTCGATTCGGGGGGGGGGGGGGCTTTTTTCTAACGCATTACCAAGGGTAGATCAGACCAGGGAAGGGTTCTACTCTTCCACGAGCAGTACTAGTTGCCCGATGGCATTTCCAGAAGGCCATCGAAAGATATCGCTTGTTGCTCCAATGCGCCTTGACACATACCTCAACATCTTCTCTTAACATGACGAGGCGGTTATAATAATGGCCCATCATTCTCAGGCACCACACTATTAAGGCTGGATTTCAGAACCTTTTTTTTTGCAACGTGGCCGCCCCCTGGCACGACCCCAACCAACCATTCCCCCGCATAGGGGTATGCTACTCTCAAACCGAGAGGCGCCTTGGTGGGAGATTGTCATCTTAAAGAAGGCCTTCGACGACTAAGCAGTTCTGATGAAGAAGGACGTTATTATGGCCTTGGCATCGGGCAATTGAGTAAAGCAGCATATACCCTATGATGATGGCTTCCTCAAAAGAGAAGAAAAAAAGAAAGTTTAACACTGTGTCTTGCTGACAGAAGGGCCAGTCGGTAATAAAGGCCGAAGATCCAAAGATGAAGATCATGGCTCAAGATTACAGCACCGGCGAAGATTATAGCAAGAACAGCACTCTTGCACAATCACTGAAACTTCGATACACTTGGCTTGAAACGATTCGATACCATACAACTATTCTTCATGGTCGGATTACAATTCAACCAGCTCCAACTACATACAAAATTGTCATTGACCTATAATATCACCGTTGGTCGGTAGTACGTAGGTCGAGTCAGATTTCGTGACTCCCCAAACACATAGCCTGGGCCGTGCGTACAGGCCATGTGACCGAGGCAAAAGCGGAATAGTCGCGTATCTTGGTAACGATTGTAGTAGACATAGCAACGAGAAAAACGAGTGATAAATTGGTATTCTACGACACCAGGACCTGAATCTTATTCGCAAAGGGAAGCGATAAAGATCGTAGCTTAAAACTACTTGAATTGGTTTGTTAAACTTGGAAAAATAAAGTAGATGACTGAATTCGTAATATAGGCCTATAAAACGAGGTGTAAATCTCACGATGAGTGTCAAGTCGTGCCCCCTAATTGTAGACGCTGCAACAAAGTCAGCAGACACCAATCCTCTATAACTTTATCAGTCCTGTGGGAAGAAGAGATTGCTAATCCTGTCATCTTTTGCGTCGGAACGGTCTGGTTACACTGACAAACAGTACCGTTAGCATTCAGCGTCCTTTTTCAGGCTGGCGTTAGCGTAGGAATCAAGGCGTCCGAGGGGGCGATGGTTCTTGATGGATGGATAGACTCTGGGGGGTCCATCCGTCAGAGGATGGAACGTCGAGTAGACCGCGGATCCATTCCCAAGACAGGATGGGTGGTGGGTGATGATGGATTCTAATTGAATCAACGCAGGATTGTGAGCAGTGAGGAAGGCAGATAGGAATCTAAGCCCGTGACGTGCTGAAATGGATTACTGGTTGACACCGAAGGATTCTAGGTGTCCTGTAGGGTAAAAAAGGGAGAAATGGTCGTTGACCGTAGATGGTGTGTTGGCGTGTTTACTTTCACTGACTGGGCGACCGAGTAAGGATCTAACGAGATCTAGTTCGATGAAACAAGAATGGATAAGATCATCAGGATAGAAGAGCGAAAGCCTGATCCATAACGCCAAGAGTGACTTACAGGATGAAAGAGAAGGAAGAGAATCACTCATGTTGCCGTCAGGTTACGGGTTTTCTGTCCGTAAAAGAATCTCGAGGAAGAAGACGGAAGCACAATGGGGCAAGAATCATGCAAGCATAGATGGGCCTGCATAACCTTAATAGTTTGAAATAGTCGGTTTAAAGCATAAAGCAAGGTTAAAAAGTAAAAGCTAATGAACGAGGGGAATCAGGTTTTCCGCAAGTCCTCCGTAGGCCATAGTTCGTAGAAAGGGCCAATAGCGGAAAAAGAGGGGTGTAAGAGTAAGAGTCCGACCGCAGGAACTGTCTAAGACCTTAGAGATTCACGATGTCGCCATATCTAGAATGCAGGTTCAGCAGATCAATAACAGAAGGTTTAAGAGAGAAATCAGAAGACACGTCTTGATTCCCTTGTATTCAGCAACATAAAACATGCGACATGAGTGAGATTTCGAAAAACGATATTGGGCGAGCTGCTGAAAAGAAAAGGAGGAGCACAAAGGATCGAAATAATCGCCCTCTCCTCTGGGCCAGAGGATGGGAGTAATTATATCTGCCACATCATCCAACGTGTCTGTGACTGATCTGAAAAAAAAAATGCAACAAGTCTGAGTTATAGTGGTGTGAAAAATATGGTATCTGGCAATACAGAATTGACTGTAGAGAGGTGTGATCTTGCGAGGTGAGAGGCGTGAGGAATATGACGAGCGGGAAAATACTGAGAAATGATCCAAAGGATTGTTTCAGATCTCCAAAAGGTACATGTATCTACCATAATTTAGTCATGTTTCAAATAAGATCGTCTGAAGATGTTAGCATGTAATTTTTGGGCTGAGACATGCCTAAGCACTCGACTACTGCTTCTCTTAGTTTTTTCTTTTATAGTTAGGCATGTCAACTAAAGATGATTCAACCATTCGGGGTTCCGGTATTTAAAACAACAGTGCAGTTGGCCGTTTTCCGTTACACGCGGTACCTCCATCTAAAAGCTAATCCAACCAAAGAAGCGCCAATGATAGTCGCCGATTGGCTAATAGTTCTACCGACGTCGTCCAGTGTTTGCCACCAAAAAGAAAACGAAATCGACCGTGAAAACTGAATCTAGACGGCTGTAAAGCGGTGTTTACAGGGGCCCCGTAAATTTAAAGAATTGGTGGCATAACCTAAGGGAACCTGATCGACGTCCGGGTTTCTCGTCCTTTAAAGGATACCCTGTGAGAGCTTGCACTACCGTCTCTTGACGAATACTGCCACTTGACGAACAGGGATTCCAAGTATGGCAAGAAATAGTCAAGCAACAGCCAAGCTGCGAGATCTCCAGTCCTTTTAATTTCTATTGGCGCAAAGTCCCCTGTTCGTCAAGTGGCAGTATTCGTCAAGTGACGGTGAACGACTGTACAATAATTTCTCAACCTCGCCGGCTGGCGGAAACTTTTGAAGGTACAAGCAGCTCACGTGGAGGTGCAATCTGTTCAAGCACTAAATCCCTGAATAGAGATTTCTACACCATCAATTTTGAAAAATGCTGGTTGCAAAATTGCTAGTTGCGGGTAGAAAGACTGATGGTTGCATGCCAATCTACATACAAAATGGGCATAAAACTGCTGATTGTGAGTATCGTTTTGCTGGGTGGCAAATAGGATTTTGCTAAATTGATGGTTCCCCCCAAAATCTCTAATATCAAACCTTATTCAGAGATTTTGTTTATTCCTCCGTGAAAACGCTTTGATTTACTCCATTAAAACTCCCATAATCTTCCAGGACTGAGACTCAGTTAGAGGCGTCAAACCTTCATCGTGAGATCTATTAGTGGTGTTGTGGGTTAGGGTTTCTGATTGGTCAGTACTTTTGATTGGTAGGTATTGCCAAGATCAAAGTCCCAAAAAGGAAAGCCACTAGCCGGAATATCGCTCCCTCTTTTTGTAAGGCACGGCTAACGGGTACTCGACTTTATGTCAGAAAGATTCGCCGAGACCTAGACTCATCTTCCTAATTGCAGGTGCTAAGCAGGCGCTTGGGTACGTAGTATATAATACATAAACCTCAAGGTATCGGGCGGGGCTTATAAATGGTCCACCTCGTGGACTTTTGAAATCCCAACTGCTATTCAACATAGCCGGAGTGTATTATTCAAAACCGGTTGATAACTGCTGTCACAACACACCTAACTCTCAGACTTGAGGCAGACAGCTCTCGGTCTCCCTAGGCCCGCAGAACTAGTTGCCTTCTATCCTAATTTCAAAGGATCAACTGACCGGTAGACCACCTGGTAGACCCTTACTTTCCCTACCCCAAATTCCCGTGCCCAGCTAGGAATGGTATTCCCAGGCTGGATCGTTACGTTTCGCATCGTGGTTCAAGCGTGGGATCGCCCGGTCCACTGACGTCTGTTTACTATCTATCAAATCAGTTCTTGATATATATCTTTCGTTCTCTCAACCGGACTGAACCTCCGTCAAATTCCGTGGGTGTGAGAGTATCTTCCTGCATAATTAATCTCATCGATTGGTATAACTTCCACAGCGGAAACTTAGGTTAGGTGCCCCCAGAATTTAACTATGTGAGTTAGTGTATGTATACCCCCAAGAGTGCACAGAACACAGTGGGAGTGGTGCTCTATAAAAGTACATGTGCCCGCGTTGCCTTAGGTTTTTTTGGCAGTTTGCATCATTGTTCCACTCCCCTCTAAAATTACCCTTCCCACCGTTTTCGTGCCGTCGCCATGGGGCCCTCGCCCACTCCTTCGGTTTTCCCTGCTTCGAAACCCGACTGGAACAACCTTAGCATCATCCACCGCAATACCTTACCACCCCGCTCACACTTCTTCCCGTTCCAGAGTGAAGAAACAGCATTAACTTATGACCACCTCCAATCATCTTTCATACAGCCCTTATCGGGTACCTGGCGATTCCATCATACCCCGAATCCATTCGAGGCCCCCGAAATCCCGAAGGGGGCCGAGAAACTCGAGACCGAAACCGAGACCGATGTAGAAGACTTCGACATCAGAGAATGGAACGATATTACGGTGCCGGGCATGTGGCAACTCCAGGGCTACGGAGCGCCACATTATACCAACATCGTGTATCCCTTTCCCGTAGATCCTCCAAATGTTCCTGCGGAAATAAACGAGACCGGGACATACCAGCGCGAATTCGAAGTTCAAAGAGGAGAGACTGCAGACTTCCAGTACCGGTTGAGGTTTGAGGGTGTTGACAGCGCGTTCCACGTCTGGGTCAATGGCAAAGCTGTTGGATACAGTCAAGGAAGCAGGAATCCGGCCGAGTTCGATGTTTCCGACTATGTGAAATACGGAAGTAATTGGATTACTGTGAGAGTATACCGGTTCTGCGATCATTCGTAAGTTGTTCACCCACATAAGTGTGGTTTCCATTAGTCGTGTTGATGGCTCTTTTATTTATCTCTCATCTTGTAATCACTCGCGTCCGATGGAGATTCTTGGCTCCTAAATCACAGTAATCCCGGGATTCCGGGACCTGATTCCAAAGGATTGGCTGGGTTGAAATTGTCTCTCTATCATTGTCCCTTTCATTGGATCCGTTCTCTTAAGATATCTTTCGGTTTCTCTGCCACCCCCAATGCTGACAATGATCTACCCGCAGGTATATCGAAGACCAAGACCAATGGTGGCTGTCGGGGATTTTCCGAGACGTCTATCTCATCGCTTTCCCCAACCTCTCCCGGATTGACGACTTTCACGTCAGGACCGAACTCGACGACAATTATCAGCACGCAGTCCTCAAATGTGCTGTCACCACAGCTGGAAGTGAGAGGAAAGGCAAGAAATTACGACTCCGCCTCCTTGGGGCGGATGCGAAAACCGTTGTAGTTGATGTCACGCAGGAGATCACAGATAGCGCCGCTGGACCGATAGAATTCTCTCTCGATGTTAAGGACCCAAAGAAGTGGACCGCGGAGACGCCTTATCTCTACCATTTGGTTCTCTCGCTTGAGGGCGCACAGGTGGTGGCCCATAAGATTGGGTTCAAGCGCGTCGAGATAAAGGATGGTCTTATGCTTTTCAATGGCAAAGCGATCAAGCTCTTTGGTGTCAATCGCCATGAACACGACCCGACCGGTGGGAGGGCTGTATCATACGAGCTCATGGAACACGATATAATCCTGATGAAACAGCACAATATCAACGCTCTCCGACTCTCCCACCAACCCAATGACACGCGCATCTATGATCTTTGCGACTATCATGGTTTGTATGTCATCGATGAGGCGGATCTCGAGTGCCACGGCTTTGATTCTGTCGAAGTCCTGAAACTCGGTAGTGCGGGAGACAATATGACCTTCGAGGAGAAGAAAGCAATCACTTATGCCAATGCTGCCCGATGGACATCAGACAACCCAGAGTGGAAAGAGTCCTACCTGGACCGTGCAAGGCAGATGGTGCATCGTGACAAAAATAGGGCGTGTGTTTTCATGTGGTCCCTGGGTAACGAGTCGTTTTACGGGCAAAATCACGAAGCAATGTATGCATGGATCAAAGGGTTTGATCCATCTCGGCCGATCCACTACGAGGGCGATGTCGAAGCGAAGACTGCGGACGTTTTTAGCTGGATGTACCCCACTGTTCAAAAGTGTATTGACTTCGCCGAGAAGGGAAGCGACAAACCGTTGATTCTGTGTGAATACGGTCACGCTATGGGTAACGGCCCCGGGGCGATTAAGGAGTACGTTGAGGCGTTCAGGAAGTATCCCCAGCTCCAGGGTGGCTTCATCTGGGAATGGTCGAACCACGGAATCCTGGCGCAGACAGAGGATGGACAAGAGTACTATGCGTACGGTGGTGACTTTGGTGACGAGCCGAATGACGGGAATTTCGTCATGGACGGTTTGGTGTTCTCCGACCACAGTGCAACCCCCGGACTGGCCGAGTATAAGAGACAGATACAACCTGTGCAGATTGAGTTTGACGGGCTGAAGGCGAGAATCACAAACTGTTACGAGTGGCAGGTGACCGAACACCTAGCGTGTGTGTGGGGGGTGAAAGTTGCAGGCAATCCGATATTCGAGGGGGGACTGTCATCACCGGTCATCGATTCGGGCGAGACCGCCGAAGTAGTCTTGCCATTTCGTCAAAACGAACTGAACAGCAATGAAATCTCTGTCACAATTCACTTTTACCTCAAGCAGGACACCACGTGGGCCAAGGCTGGACACCTTGTCGCCTGGTCTGAGGCCCTTATTCGGTCCGTCCCGCCCGCTAAACTTAGCAGGAGACGCCCGGCGGAGGGGATCGTAAAGGTGAAGCAGCGTGGGGATGATCGCCTTTTGCTTGTCAAGGGCAGCAAATCCAGGTTCGAGCTGAACATGGTCACCGGAGATCTCAGGTGGGCGTCCTCGGTCTCTGGCAAGTTGATACAGAAGGGTCCTGTCCTCAGCTTTTACCGCGCGCCGACCGATAACGATCTGGGTCACGGGGGGGACGCAAAGCATTGGCGAGATTTCATGCTCCACGCCGTAAAGCAGTCCGTGCAGAAGGTGGAATGGAATCATGCCGACGGGGACACTGCAATTATCTGTAGGGTATACGCTCGCATTGCCCCTCCAGTTCTCGACTGGGGAGTCTCGACGATCTATGACTACACCTTCCGTGACGGGTCCATTGAGCTCACGGTGACAACCAAGCTAGAGGGCAATCATCCGAAAACCTTTGCTCGCTGTGGTCTAACATTTGTCCTTCCTCCCGAGCTGGAGGATGTCAGTTGGTATGGCCGTGGGCCAGGAGAGTCCTACAAGGATAAGAAGGACGCAAACGCAATGGGTATCTGGCACAGGAACGTTGACGACATGTACACAAATTACGAGTTTCCCCAGGAGAGCGGGAACAGGACGGATACCAAGTGGATTGCCGTTAAATGCGAGGAGGAATATGGACTCAAGGTTATTTTCACTGAGAAGCCCGGAGACTTTACAGCTTTACACTACACAACTGAGGATTTGGAGAAATCCAAGCATCCCCACGAATTGACGAGATTGAACGAGACGATTTTGAGGGTTGATGTTGACCATCACGGGCTGGGAACGGGCTCATGCGGACCAGGGGTATTACCGCAGTACCAGCTCTTGGCAAAAGATTATTCTTTCAAGTTGATTTTGGAGCAGATAGACAAGCTATAGATAGGGGTTGATTTTTTTTCCTTTGGCATTATACCATAAATTTGCAGGATGGACGAATATTTTTTCAAAGGAGCATGGGAGACGGGGGATGAAGGAGCCCTATGGATGTGGATGGCTAGTGTTGAATGGCTCCCTCATCATCATACGATAAATATTTGTGTACCTAAAAACTATTTTTAACCACTCTGAATAGGTAATTTCTAGTGCAATATCAGGTCAAGACCTACATTTCTTCAAATTCTTCGATATGCGTCTACTTTCAAAGTTTGGGAACTTTGAATCCATTTCTGACGGTATAGAGCTGCGATTGAGAGCTCAAGTACCTATGTATATGTATCTACTTAGGCATTGATATCCCAATAAAGTAGAAATGTAGGATTTCTGCATATCCCGCTGTAGCGAACTGTGGCTTTCGCGTTGACCTACATGCCACCCGTGCCGTGCCACACGGCGCCATCAGAGCACAAACACTACGGCGGGACACCCCCAGACACTGAGAAATTGAAAAAAAACCTCGTTTGACCTTTTCCGTCATTCCTCGGGTCACATTTCACAAACCGGGTTTGGGTGTGTGGTGACCAGGTACGTCATCGCTCGTCGAGTTTTTTGGGAATCGCATCTCGGGAGCCATAACATCGGCTGTAGCCTGTTGCCCTGCAGGTTGCGGATCACTTTGGATAGCTGATCGATGGTGATTGGTGGAGGAGTGAGAGAAAGAGTGAGGAGTGTCTCTGAGTGGCTAGGGCAGTTGTCTATCCACCAATGAGAATCGAGTGCGGATATACCCCTAACCCTAGAGAAATAACTGTCACGAAGTTAAGACCACCGCATGTTGTCATAAACACATCTTATGTCTGAGAAGAAGAGAGTCCACCTCTTCCCGCCACTGCCCTCTTGCATCAAGCTTCTGGGAATATCATGATTACGAATGATTCAACCCCAGTGCCTTCAAATCAGCCATTTCGATGGCAAAATATCTAATGTGTATTATCCCTTACAGTTTCCGGTAGAATTATTGCGAAAGTCAGAACTAAAAGAGTGGATTTGTTGGTCTGTCCCCGTAGCAAAAAACCTTTTAAGGGCCAATAGGACTATCGGGTCACGGAGAACCCACTTTCGCAATAATTTTACCGGAAACTGTAGACGGTCAGTCTGAATTGTAATCCGAGGCACTTAAACCCTTTATGGCAACGTGATGAATATAACGCCGACGGAGTAAGAGTTGCAGTTTCTGGCATGCGTGATAGGTTGTAACGAAGTTCTAATTCCAAGCGCTGCTTCTATCACGATTACCATAAAGGGTTTGATCATGAGTGCCTCGTTGCAATTCAGACTGACCGTCCAAGGTATAGGTATGTAGTTAGATATGTACCCATTAAAGCTTCCTGTTTTCGGGGACGTAACGCAGTACTGCAGTTCAATATTTCGAAGCCACCAACAATCAGCCAGTTACAGAAATCAGAGGATCCGCTACCAAACGGTATTAGCACCCAAATTAAACTGATACGATCGTTGCAAAAAATGACCTCCGAAGTTGACACACCATATCCCATCCTCGCGCATATCTGGATATTGGCCTCTACTCGTTTACCACGGAAAGAACCAGAAAATACAGTTGCTCAGAGCAAGGATTATTTGTATGGAGTGGCGGTGATCTCTCATACAAATTATCCCTGTCTCTGTCACTTACATTTTCTGGTTCTTTTCGTCATCGTTTTATCGGATAGCGTCGGGCCGGTAGTTCCTGTCATCCGCAACAAACACCTGCAGCTGGCCTCCGTTTCCCCCAGAGGCGTGCGAGTGATGACCAATGATTCAGACCAAGCTTGATAGCGGGTATGTAGGTCTATCCTTTTAACCCCCCCCCAAACTAATCCATGCCGGAGAGAAAGCCGGGGTAGCCTTGCCACCAGATCTTATATTAAAGTTGCCACGAAACATACGTGTGAATAGAGAGTATTTGCCAACAGTCAATTTCATTAATTGTCATTTGAGAATTGACTAGTGCGGGAGGCAAACTTGACAGTTCCCCTCAGTGGCCAAAATCGATCTGGTTAACGGCCTGACAGAAAATTAAACAGTTTATCACGCTACCTGTAAAATATAGCGGCAGGACATAGAATTCACACGCCGCTGCACTAGATGCCCCATGATAGCAATTACTATGGTGCCAAAACTGTGTATTTAATATCCTCTTGGTTGTATATTACAGTACAAACGCATCCCCAATTAAGCGGCGCCTTCCCACTAAAATCTAAATTTGACAGCTCCGGTTCCTACCTTTAGAACCTACATTTCGTCGACGATCGAAATTGACAGTTGGCAAATACTCTCTAATGTTGACGAGTGGCCAAAAAAGGTGATAGCCGCTATAGCGCTAGCGCTTGAGGACCGAGTGATGGCACATGGTGCGGAGTACGATACTGTTAGGAATGGGTGTGCATATCTGGCAGCTGCTCGGGAGGACGTTCTTGGTCGGTTTAGGTTTGCGTTTTTGTCGGTTTCGTCGGTGTTCGTTGCCCCTGGATTTGACATTCTGGTCGAGCTGTATATTCTATCATTACTTCTTTTGTTTTCAAGGCACATATGAGCGTTTTAATTAATATTAACCTCCTATTGGTATTTTATATGCTGCTATCGTCAATTTATTACTCTCTGTGAATTGACCTGTACATAACACCCACTTCCGGGAGTTCCAGTTTCCCTCTTGGGACAACGATCGGCAGGCCCAAAACGCCATGAGGCTCCTTGCTTACAGCGCCAGGGATAGTTACATAGATTCACCTGTACATCTTGGAACACCCCCCCTCGAGGGCTTAGGTCAAGCGGTGAAATATCGCTGGGCGCCAAGTGTTGGAATTGTATATTATGAGGTCTCCCCCGCTCCCTCTTGAATCTCCAGCTCTCTTTGCCTTTGTAAGTCTACCCCCAACATTTGGCTTTCCACCACCGACTCTTGCTCGAATATCTGCTAACCCCCTCACAGTGGCTTAGATCAAGTGTAGTATCTGTTCTTTTCAGTTTAATCTCTGAAACGGTTCTATGGAACCATTTATTGATTATACTTATTTTTGTTTGCCGCGGGACCATGGCTCTGTGCTTGCACATCGATGGTCCCACTGTGTCACTGGTATTACACTGCCTCCAGTTGACGCGAATGAGCTTTTTCCGTTCTTTTTTTTCATTGTCTTTTGGCCGCTGGCGAAGAGTCGAGGAAAAAACAAGATTCTTCATTGCTTATTCCGTTTTGTTTTCCTTTTTGTTTTTCTTTTGTGTGTTGCGTTCTGTGAGATTAATAGTATTAATTTATTACGTGAATCAAAGACTTCTATTGAGAATCCATCTTGTCGGTGTCGGTCGCGTGCTTTGGTTACAATCTTCTCTCGTTTCGTAACAGCCAAACCAACTTTTTCTTCCGAGGACATGAACATACATCATCGTGGCGTGAGAATTGAAGCCCTTCTTCCCATTTGACAATTGATGTTACATCATTTGCCAATGTGAACAGGTCTTGCTGCCGAGCAAATCTCACTCATGCCCCATCAAATATATCGTCCCATTCCATTATTACGCACCCCGCCATTCAATTACAATTACAACTACAACTAACCACTACAACTAACCACTACATATACTCATAGCACAACGCCTGTCCCCTGATATCCATCAGCTCCCTCACCCTTTCACTCGGTATGACGCCATGCACATCCATCACATCGTCCAGACTGATGCCCACCCAGTGCCCGTCCTCCGCAAAGCTCGGCACCCCGCCCGTCACCTCCCCTAACCTGCGTTGCAAATCCCTCTCCTGCCACTGCCACCACACCCGGTCTAGGAACGTGTGGTGCAAATAAAACAACGGATCCCCCGGGCTCGACACCGCATTATCCTACACCCCATCCCATCTCAGCACACACCCACCTCCCAGCATCAAGAAATATAACGGAGAGAGAGAGGGAGAGAGGGAGAGAGATCAACTCACCATCACGCCACCCACACCGCGGTGCCCCGCCGTATGCGGATTCGTCTCGATGCACGGCCACGCGCGCTGGAAGTCTGGCTGCGACAGACACTCGTCGATCGCGTCCTGCCCGATGTAGCTGCTGACATTGTCATCGATCGCGCGGCTGATGCAGTGCTCCTCGTATGCGTAGCCAGGGCCCTGGTGCAGCCGGTAGTCCGCAAACGGGCCTTCCCTCTCTCTCCCGTCAGCACGCCGCAATTGCAAAACTAACCAAGGGCGGAATAGAATAGAACCATCACGGATACACCGCTCCTCGCCCTCCCCGCCGCCGCCGAAGCCTTCCCGCGCGTCAAAGATCCCAGCGCCCGAGAACCGCCCTGCGTCGCGCGGTTCGTCCCAATACCTGAGCTTGCCAGTCAGTGCCCCATACCTCATTATATCAGGTACTTGATACTTGGTTAGAGCGGGTACTCACGGTTGCGCCCCATCATAGCCACACTCCTCCCTTAGCAGGCGCTCATGCGCGCGCATGTATAGGCGGTGCCACGGCAGGAACCACGCCGTGTTGTGGATCCACCCCGCCTGGTGCTGGTGGGCGCCGAGGAGGTCGTCGTATCTACTCACTGCGCCCTCGGCGCCAGTCTGTGCGGGCCGCGACATAAGGCAGCGTTCGGCGTCGAGGTAGCTTAGGCGCTCGCGGGTGCTGAGGGTGTGCCTGTTGTATGTTAGTACCGGTGGTGGTGGGGGAGAAGGAAGAGTGGGGGAGAGAGACCAGGCGCGGCGTTGGATGGGTGACGAGCAGGATTGGCGCTTGGTGTGCGGGAGGGAGTCGGTGAAGGTTAGGGTGATGAGGAGCAGGAGGAGGGGCGTGAGGTAGCGCATGGTGTTGGTTGGTAGACTGTGTTTTTATGGATATCTATATATTTGTTCTGGGTTTATGATACCTGGGCGGATTGATAGATGAAGCATCTTTTGTACTTATAGAGAAACTCCCCCAACTGTTTCCGGGCTGTAGAGGGCATCGTGAAGGTGCCGAATCCAATCTACACAAAGAAGATGAAGAAACTACCACAAGTCCTACGTCCTCCGCATCGTACTATGGTCTCCGGCTGGAAGCGTCATGGGAGAGAAAAGAATGTTTATAGAAGGTTTATAGCTAGACGGGTCTATATATAGACAACCGGAGACGTAGGTATGCCGTGACTGACTGGTTGTAGAGTGGTATGAACAATGCTAAGGAACCCGAACCCGCATCCATCGGTTCAGCTGTGGTGAGTGAGACAGCTGCTTCCGGCATACATGTAGCTATATGCAGAATAACCCCTTGCGTATATTGGGGGGTCAACTGCTTTCGTCTAAGAATATAATTGCATGTATGTATGCTTAATCAACTGATTGTTCTCGCTCGAGGGGCATTGATGAATGGGATTGATCTGCCATGAGTGTCACCGAGTGAGTCATGATATGTCACTCGTAGTATTTTAACCTGTGGGACATCCGCTATCCGAGCGGTTCGTGATATTTAGTTAGTTAAGGGATTACCCAACTGTTTCGCCTGAGGATATGTATATCTAATTTCCTCCATCTCACAGAAACCCTGACGAACAAGCCCAAGCCCAAGCCTTGGCCAAACCCATGAAAGCACATTAGTCATTTCCATGTAAGTATCTCTTTGTTCCAAACAAAGGCCGTCTCCTCCATGAAACACCACCACCACAAAGGAGGTCCCCCAACGAAACAAAGACCTCCGCCCATCATTAAAGCCGTTTTCCCCATCCAAAAAAGCAGAAGCAATAGTTTTGCGGGAAAAAAAAACCAATGTCGGCCATTTCACCACCCTTCACGCGCCGAAAGCACGTTCCCAGCCACTGCAAGCGCTGCGGCTGTTTCGAGTTCTTGGATGCCCGCCACACGCGCATGCGCAGCGGGGAGTACTCGGGGGAGGAGGTCTGTCTTGCGTGTCCGCACCGGGCGCGGCAGCATGTCTGGAACATGATTGAGGAGAAGGTAAATATGACACAATATGCTCGTACGATAGTTTACTGGCCAGCTAGTTAGCTCCATAGTTTAGTTTGGCTACGTGGGGAATCAAAGTTGCGTAGGTGGTGTTTGTGGCGTGCGTTTTGGTTTGGTTTAATTTGGTTAATGCGTGTGTGGTTTAGATAGATTATTCCCCGCCGAGAAACCCGGGTTCGCCGATATTCAAGAAGTATGAGTTTGATGAGCAGGACCAGAATTCGTCGCCAATGTGGAAGTATAGTGCTAGGAAGGCGCAGCAGCGTGCTTTGGCAGAGGTGAAGGTGCGGGTGATACCGCTGAGTCCGATACTGCCAATGAGTCCGGCGTTGCTCTCGACGTACAGGCTAGAGAAGAAGCGAGAGGATCTGAAAGAGGAGGGGGTGCTTGAGGAGGAGGAAGAGGAAGAAGAGGTTTTTGAAGATGAGGAGATTGATCTCGATATCTCCAAACTTTGCTCGTCCCCTCCACCTATTCTTTCGCCTGAACTTGTCATTCCGCCACCCATTGGAGGACGGGTCACGCTAGAAAAGTTGTACAGGTACATGGTGGAGCGAAGCAACTATACCGACCGTCTTCAGCAACAGATACTAAAGCGAATCGAAGAGAACAAGATACTATTAAAGAGTCTTTCTTCGGATTCTTCGTCGGCCAAGGAGGAGATGAAAAGGGTAAAGGAGATGGTAGATGAGATTGCAGGTAACTATTGGAGCGAGAGGCCGGATAAGAGGCCGAAGGGAGTTGTGAAGCCGGAATCGAGGAGGGGCGTTCGTGAAACAGGTATTATGGGGGCGAATGTGGGGATCAAGAGTAAGTTGCTCCGTAACCCTTTTTTACCGGCGGTATTAATTGTACGTTAATAGGTCCCCAAAGAGCGAGAGCAAGCCCAAATCGACAAGATTCAAGACCAGTAGTGGGAGGTGATTCGGAAGCGATTGCAACCCAATCATCAGAGGAGATAAGAACTGTTCATAACGGAATCGGGCCTATAAGTGGAGAACATGAATTATTTGTTTCCTCACCAGAAAGAGGTATAAGCGCTACAAAAATTCCATTGAAGAGTGGAGGTTTCAAGGTCATTTCGTCTCCTGTGGTGGGAAGTGGGTATGAAATGGAAGAGACGGATGAGGAAGAGGAAGGTTTTATCGATGAAGAGGCTGAGGAGGAAACTGATGAAGATGGGGATGAGAGGACGGTGGAGGACCAAGAATATGAAAGTGAAGAGATGGAATTCGACCGGGATGAAGAGGAAGAATACGAAGAAGATGAGGAGGGGGGAAATGAGGGGAAAGATGGTTGTGAAATAGATGAGCATAGCCTGGAGGAGAGGGAAGAGGAAGAAGAGGCGGAGGGGGAAGAGGAGGAGGGGGGAGAAGAAGAAGAAGAAGAAGAAGAAGAAGAGGTAGAGCTCGAGGAGGAGGATGAATATATAGATCCTAATCAGATATACCTAAATCGCTATCAGAATCGTCCATTGGTACAGCTTTACAGCGGCCTTCTTCCACTAATGACCCCCATTAAGGAAGAAACTCAATACTCATCACCACACCGGTCTTTTTCCTCCCCCACAAAAACAATAATATCCAGACAGCAGATGGTTTCTAACCGAGGGAAGGTCGCTCCCGAGGTAACTTATTCCCAAATGCTCCCCAATGAAATAAACAGGCCTCAAGGATTCAGCCCTCTTCGGCAACGGCATGATTTTGCGGATATTGAAGAGGGGGAGGAAGAAGAAGAAGAGCAGGTTGATGATAAAAACAATGGAGATAGAGGTCAACGTGGATATGAAGATGAATTTAAGGAGGAGGACTCATTTTTCGAAGATAAACATTATTCCTCTTCTTCTATCCATCCATCTTCTTCATCCCAGAGCCCGGATGCGCCAAATAATAAAAGACGATTGGAGAATGATGTTTCGAAGAGCAAGAAAGCTCAAGCCATTGGAACGGAACCTAGATCATCCAAAAGACAACGCCTTAGAAACGAGCAAGAAAACATCGATGATGCGTCAAGATCAACCAAGTATGTAGAAATTACCACGCCTTCAATCGACAACGGCACAAAACCAAATAATGGATCTAACGTTTCCCAAGGATCGTATAGCTCAAGTTATATACTGATCTCTTCGTCGCCATGTGAATCCCTCAGCGGCCGGCCCATTTCGGACGAGCTCCAGAGTCGAGCTATCGCAGACAAAAGCCCGGGAGTCCCAGGACTTTTGTTCGTCAATACCAAGACCCGAAATGGTCGGTTATCGGGTGATTCTGGCAACAGTGGGCAAGGGGTGGCTATAGGCGAGTCACAGTTACTAGTGGAAGGCGCCAGACGTAAGAAGATAAAGAAGAAAAGCAAGAGGAGGAAGAGAGCTAAAGCAAATATGATCTAAGAGGAGGGGAAATTATCGCGGGAGAGACTTAATTTAGGCAAGCTAGATAGAAGAAAGCGAAGTTTACTTGTATAATACTGTGGTTGGGATGAGTAAACAAATCCGACGCCATCTAAATGTATTATTACATGTACGTATATGTACATGATGTACTAGTGCGTATAATACATGTGCATGGCTCTCCTAGAATAATTTCCGTTGAGACTTGCGGTATGGTGTCCTTGACTCATGTGGCATCACTCGCATGCTTGGCAGCTAGGTCTGTCTAAATAAGGTTTAATAGTCTTCATACATGCACTAGCTTAGAAACATAAAGCCAACGTCTCAACGACTTGCTTCCCCTCTTTCGTTTCTACCATAACCTGTCCTCTTGCCACAATGGACCATCTAGAATCGCATTAGGTAGTTCTTGTTAAATCTCTAACATAATCCTCGAGAAAGATGGCTGTATCACGTCTGTATGCGTGATGGTGGTAGCCTAATCGGACAGAGAGGGTCCATTCAGGGAAAAATCACTCAAGGGAGAAAGCAATGGAAAAGGCCGCAAATGAGAAGAAAAAAATTCCCAAATCCTGTTGGTAATCACACGGTTATCTCCTCCAACTTTCCCAGTATCTAGGACCAATGGTTAGCTTGATATATACTAATAAGCCGAAATAACTTTTAGAACACTTACCCGCTCAATATATCCAACTCCAACCGATATCCCCTCTTCGTCCATAAGATCAAAATCATTACCATCGTCATCGTCTAGGCACTTCAAGCATGATATCGTCACATCCGCATATCGGTTCCCTAAGGTTTTCGGCACTAGCTCTCGAGCCATATTGACAAGCATCTCTTTCACTTCCCTTCCAGGCCTCTTATCCAGGGATTGAAAATCCTCTGGCCTCCGGGGGGTTCCATAGTCGTCATACAATACAAAGGATTTCCAGAGTGCAATTTCTAATAGGCAAACACCTAGACTATAAATATCATGTTGCATTTTATATACCTCATCCGGAAACTCTCCTTGACGTTCTGGATGCCGGTATAGGTTCCTTTCCCACGCCGAGTCTCCCATCATTGTGGTATGTGTAGCAGCTGCGGAGCGGAACTTCTGGAACCCAACCAGAAACGGGAATCCAACCTCGTTGATGAAGGTTTGATCGTTTGGTTGTCCACGAGACTCGAAAATAACTATTGTTTCTGGCCTGAAGTTCTTGTGCACGAAGTTGCTTGAATGAACAAACGAGACCGTTCTTGCAAGGCGTTTCGCAAGTTGTATCCGCACGTTGATAGGATCATTCCGATGATCCGGTGAAACCAAAATATCACGTAAGGACCGAGGGTTAGTCAAGTTCTCGGGTACCTTAAATACCATTTCAATTTTGCTGAGCGTTCCTTTACCGTCTTTGACATTCACAATCCCAGCGCAGACGGGGATTCCGAAAGTCATAGGATCCACTAGTCGGAGGACTTGAACGAGCTCACGGATATCTTTGATCGTACGCCGTGCGGTCGGGTCGCGCCCGCTGCAGGGGATGGAGTCAATGAGAAGTTGACGGCCGTTGTAAGTACCAGGAACCCGGTGAATTTGAACAGCGCTGTACCGGACGACCTTTCTAAGTTCAGGGTTCCAGAAATTATTATCAGCGTGGTAAACCACTGATTCCTTCGTTGGAGGCTTTGCTGAGCTGAATGCCCGCATCATGTTCTGCACCGTTGATATCGCAACATTTTCTTCCGCAGGCGCATCATTAATCCTCTGTTCGACAACTGGGTCCTCTGTTTTCGTAAGATGAAAGATTAACGGCTGAATCAGATCCTGCCATTCCACCAACTCGGAGATGGCTTCTTGGAGAGACTTCTGCACCATGAGGGCAAACTTGGCCCGCCGGAAAACTCGTTTGACATGGACAGCGATGCCCTCGATCTTGAGCCCAATTTGCTTGAGCTTGTTGGATAGCACGCTTACAAGCTTTTCGAAGTGGAGCCGGTGGCGCTCCTCGACACGATCCTGGACCTTGGCGAAGAACTCAATTTGCAGCCGCAAATTTGTCCAGTGAGCTTCGAACTTGACGATGAGGTCTCCGAGTTCGGTTTCGTAGTTTTGGTAGTTTTGGTACTTCCGAACTAAAGACTGGCCATATCTGCGAGACATATTCGTCAGCTACGCACACTCACATAAATTCATCGAACACAGTTCCACGAACTTAATGCAGAGTTCCACAATGCCGGGCACAGCGAGTGCGACTCCGAGAGCTTCTGCCATTATGTCCTTGAAAGGTCCTAAGGTCTCTTGAATATCCTGGGGAAGCGCATGCCTGCTGGTATTAGTCCGGAAGGGTGGTTGTCGGGGAAAGCGGGGTTTCACAAGGCTACCATGATTGGGCTGCGCGCGTAGCACAAGGATAATTCTAAACAGGGGATCTGACTACCATTTTGAGATATCGATATACGCAGCGCTAGCCTTTGATACAGCCCAGCTACCCCACAATTACTTTGGATCTAACTAATGACGATTGATTCGAGTATGGTACATAGGTGTATACTTGAGAGCAACTAAAGCGGTATTTACTTACGGAACCTAGTTGGCGGATCAGACAAAGGGTTTGATAACAGCATAAGAGCATACATATACAAGCGGAGTGCGGCCTCCGGCCGCCCAAATGTAGTGAGGAAATGAACCTAGGTGCGGGCGGTACTGCGCTGCGATAGTAATTTCTTAGATTATTGCTGTCATTCTGGATTATTGGGTCAACCAAACGTACAGGCACGCACTAAACCTCATCTCCATCTCTCCTCATAGGTAATCTGTGATAAATTAGCTCTAGCATGCACTCTAAGTCATTCAATGAGTAGCTTTAGTATGTACATGTAGTTCATGATAAAATGCTATCAGGGAAATTCGACTTTGATATATAAAAATATAGCTGTAGTTCTGTCAGTGTTTGTTCTTTTATATCTATCAATTGCAATAGCTACACGCCTTTTAATATAATGCCAGCTAGTTCCCTTCCATCTCGGGAGTAGTTCTTTGTCTAATGATATTCAACCAATATTAGAAATAGTACGCAACCAATAGAAAACGTTCCTGGTGACAATGAGGAAGACTATATAGCTTAGACATAGCTACATGTAGGCATTAGTTAAATGCTTCAACGCTTGAGAACTCTACATATTTCGGTAATGGCTCTGGGAATTTGATTCGACGGACCTATTACCGGACCAATTATCTGAAGAATTTACACATCACCTATTATACATACTGACCTGAACAATATTATTATAAGGGTACTGGTCAAGATTCAAAGAAAACCTCAGCTGACTCATTCCGGATATTGATAAAACCCCCAGTTAGAGATGTTTAGCCCGTTCACTCACTGTGAGGAGTCCGAACTCAAGCTTTCCATGAATTCTGCCAAATTACGGTTCTTGATGTATATAACTATAGGAATTGAGGGAAATAATATTTACAAATTGGGTATCAACTATTTTGCGAGTCTTTGTAGCAATGGCTATCTCTAACAATGTCAACTTTCATAGATAGGTATGATAGATTTGGTCGCGTAAGGGCTCGTTTGAGGAAATAAGGTATATTTATCACTGCCATTAGTGAACTTTGCTAGCGGATCTGACCAAAAACCATCTTCGAAATATCTGAGGCTGATCTCTGCTTTTCAGCCAATCATCGGCGGAGAAACCCTTGCACGGCAATCAATTTGGCGAGTTTCTGCAAGGCTGCAAAGCTTAAGGTGAACGCCACTAATTAGCCCTGCCCAAGAGACCGAGAGTGTGGCCCAACCCACGAGGTTTCAACACGTAGCTGCACTTTATTTACGTAACTAAGTCGGTCTTTGGGGTGAAATCTCGAAGCCCCCGGCCACCGAAAAATTGATCATATAATTTACCATGTCGTCAAACTGGAAGCTTCAGACTATTTTCGATGGCGATCGAGGTGTTAATCATGGCTTGAAAAAGTGGAAGACAAGGCGCGCCATAGGCACTGGTGCATACGGTTCTGTGTGTCTGCAAGAATTAACATGGCGTGGGCCGACCAGTTTTAGGGCCGTTAAAACTATCCAGAAGAGTACTACCAATCGCGCATCCAGGAAGTATTTGACTGAAGTTGAGGTATTGTCGAGAGTCGCGCATGTAAGTTATTTCCAGCATTCAGACCGGTGAATATTGGAGGCTAACTCTCTAATCAAAGCGAGATTACCTATTTGTGAAGTTTTTGGGGTGGTATGAAGATAAAACCTTTATATATATCGCAATGGAGTTCATCAAGGATGGAGATCTGAGTAATTATATTCAAAATTATCAACCGGAGGTTAAAGGCTATGCTAAGGAAATCACAAAACAACTCCTAACAGGACTAGAAGTCCTCCATTCACTGAATATATGCCACCGAGATTCAAAGCCAAAGGTATCCCCCTCTCTCTTGCCGGCTATCACTATCAGTGCTGGTACCTTCATTATAACCTAATTACTAAACCATGAGTATCATGTGTAGAATATTCTCATCGCTTCCTGTAATCCTCTGCATGTCAAAATTGCAGACTTTGGCATCGCGAAAATTGAGATGGATACCGTTCTCCGGACCCATATTGGGACACATGGCTATTTCGCTCCTGAGATAATGCCAATGATACGGTATGAAATCAAAGGCTTTAAACCAAGTACTCAGTATACCAATGCCGTCGATATGTGGGCTGTTGGAGTCCTGCTGCACGAGATGCTTACCTCTGAAATTCCTTTTCTGCTCCGTGGTAATGATAATACTTCGGGGAGCACCACGTGCAGCGGAGTGGTGGGGGGGAATATGATGCATGGAAAAGAGCTGGATTTTCGTTTGTTAAAAGAGTTCTGTGCTGGAAGGGAGGATCTTCCGTTAGGTTTGCTAGAGTCTGGCAATAATACGGAGGTTTCCAAACTATTGAGATCTCTGATTACACCAAACCCGAACCACAGAATATCTGCAGTATTGGCATTGAGAAATGAATGGATTGAATCTTCGAGACCTAATGTTGAAGGGGTATCGGAACCGGATCCGCTACCACCACTAAGTATGGACCCGAAGTGGGCGCCAAGGCAGGTCGAGGCGCAGTACTATGATTACCTGGATTGTTTGTGGATGATTCTGGGAATCATATGGGCAGGGGTCCTGTATTGTAATTGTGTGTGGAAGAGACTGGTAACCACATATCGGGAGTATTGGGGGTTTATAGTTTCAAGGGTGGGAAGTATGTTGGTCCCAGTGTTGCTCTCGCGGTTGCTCGCGATCGATCCTGCAGTGGGACGGATCCCGCAGCAGCTGGGTGATATGTGGAGGGAGAAGGAGAGGGGATAAGCGCCAAATCCGTGGTGGCTTTTAATGTGCGGGGTTATATCTCATTTGATAAGTATCTCTACGGTATATTTCATCTTGTTGTCTAACCGGGCAAGAAGTAAGATTTATACAAGCCCAGAATAATGGTTTTCTGTTCTTTTGAATTTTGTAAATACGTTATATGTACATTACATTCTTTCTTTACGGTCAATGCGGGTATTTTCCTAGCCTGTTTATAGGCTTAGATAAGCCTGATATTAGCATTATTCGAGATTAAGACTTTATTGAATTTTCAGTCTCTTACAAGCCTATGATTCTACTAAAACTTAATAATACAAATGCTTATGATATCTGATAAGGCTTAATTATAATTTGACATTATATACACCGATGGCTGCCTCGCCTGTACGCCTACTTACATTTCGTTGAATTAGGTGAATTTGGTGCTGTATTTGATCCTGTATTACCTGATTGATTACTTGATAGATTTGGAGCTTGGTTCGGTGTTTAGCTACGTACCTGCTTGATTCGATGCTTGATTCGCTGATTAGCCCATGTTTCGATGATAATTCTGATACTGGGGGTTTGGGGGGGGGGGGGGGGGGGGTAGATGGTACGGGGGTACTGGTTGATGGTCCGGAGGTGGTACAGGTGAGCGAGTGGGTGCAGACGGCGCAGACGGCTTGATATTCACTAAGTGCCTAACCTAACCCATAGAAACTTTAATTTCTTAGCTATTCGGAAACCCTACTCCTAGAAAAAGGCTTATTAAAGCCTGATATATGCGTAATCCTGAGCAACATATGTATAAGTATGTGGTCACGAATACACCCAAATCAGGCCAATTTTGGGCTTATTTGAATATAAGACTAAAATAAGGCTTTGCTTTTGCAAATCACCCTTATAGAAATACCCGTTCCGACCCTAAGGCCCCCAGAGCTTTGGGCTGATGTTAAGCCTCAAGCCACATATCACTGCTGCATGGCCCAATCACAAACATATGAGACCCCGCTCAGGCGTCTACATCAGCTCTGACCTCTAGCCCGAAACTCGAGAACTCACCAACAATATATTCAAATCTTGGGTCCGTCGGTAGAGGCACTTTCAGAGGAACAGCACCCGCCTGATTTTATTCATCCATGTCCTCCGAGTACTTCTCTAGCTGGCGGCCGCGGCCTATAGACCGCGAAGCAGGACCAGGGACAGTACACGTTTTGCCCAAGCCAGGGCCGCAAGGGAAGGATCTCAACAACTTACCCCGGTCCTATAGACTTCCTGCCGAAGGGTGTCAGGCCGGTCAATCATGGCACTCCCGGAACCTACCCCTTGATGACATATCTGGGTGTACTGTGACACATTTTGGTAATTCACAAGTAATAAGTTCCACCGAATTACAAGAATCAGATGATGGAGCCCATAAAAGAATTATCAAAAGATATTATACTCTGGATTATCGGTGCAGAGAGATTTATATCCCGAGCGATATTATACACGAGATCAAAGCAATTTTGAAGGCAGATGTATGTTTTTCTCTCTCTAGCTTGCAATTGAACTTGGCCTCTAAACGAGAATTTCAGCGAATGGACCTTTTTCAGAGGTTTCTGGGATGGTATACATGTGAAGGGCACACTTTCCAATTCTACTCGGTGTATTTCGCGATGGAATACTTTGAGAACGGACACCTTGGCCAATTCATGGGCGCTACGTGGCTAAAGATAAACGCAAGATCAATCACAGAACAACTGTTAAAAGGATTATCTGTGCTCCACTCCCGAGAAATATTCCACCCAAATATGGAACCTAAAGTATTTACACCCATTTCGTTTCTGCATCAATTTCAATCCCAATGTATTTAGTAACCGTAAAACAGCACGTGCTCATCGCGTCATGGGATCCGATCCGTGTCAAGATAGGAGGCCTCGAACGGTCGATATTCAAACAGGAATACGTTTTGGGTCAGAATCTTGAATGGCTTTGTTACCAGATCCCAGAGATCGAGTTATTCGCATCGGTGGGTTCGAAGGCGAAGTATTCTCGGAATCTCGATGCTATGGACATGTGGACACTTGGATGTCTTTTATACGAAATGCTTTTTTCCAAACCTCCATGCTGTTGCGGTGTTCTTCAAAGTTGCAAATGCATGGGATTGTCAACTGAAAGATCGATTAGTTTTCCATGGAGTTTTGATGATTGTGGTTTGAGAAATATTGACTTCCCAATAGACCTATTGAGAGATAGTTCTGTGGAGGAGATCAAGCAGAACCATGGAGATTTTAGAATTCATGAAGTCGTTGTTAACGTTCAGTACGGATTCAAGAATAACAACAGAGGAGGCATTGGTGAGCACGTGGATATCTGGATTCAAGAGAAGACAATGTTACTCGGACTTCAAACTCCCCACTAAGCTCGATGACAACAATATCATCCATACTCGTACAGAGTGGTCACCACAGGCTAAGTGGATCCAGGGAGCGCGGATTGGAAGCGGTGGATACGGTACTGTCTGGCTTCAAAGGTCCCCGTGTGGTAGCCACGAAAGGGCTGTCAAAGTCTTTCAAAATAAATACGATGGGTCTAACTTGAGGGAGATAGAAATATTGACGATGGTATCAAGTGTAAGTATTCTCCCTTTAGATTTGAAGTTATATAATTTTGGGTAGTTCGGAAGGGGCTAAGGCAGGAGGCACAGCGAGATCTACAACCCTATTTTGTAAAGTTTCTGGGATGGTATGAAGAGTTGAATTCAACATATATCGCAATGGAATACATCAAGGATGGAGACCTTAGCAAAGACATCGGTACTCCATGGCTCGCAGAGGCGGGGAACACAAAAGAAATCACAAAACAACTCTTGGAAGGACTTTCTGCGCTCCACTCGCTAAAGATTTGCCACCGAGATATAAAGCCACCAGTATTGTTCTAGTTTCAGCTATTATCAAGGTCGCTGCTGATATATAAGTAGAATGTGCTCATCGCTTCCCGACGTCCGGTCCGTGTCAAAATCGCAGACTTTGGGTTCTCGAAACACCAAACCGGCACCGTTCTCCGAACGGCCGACGGAACCGAGTTCTACTCCGGCACCGCTCTCCGAACGGCCGGCGGAACCGAGGGCTACTCTGCCCCAGAGACGATGGGCTATACACGGGAAGAAATCAAAGGCTTAGAGCAGTGTGATGTGTATACCGAAGCTGCCGATATGTGGTCCCTCGGGTGCCTCCTATATGTGATGCTGACTTCCGAGCTTCCGTTCTTTCGTCGCATCTCCCTTGATGACTCAACGGAGAGTGGAATTATTGTGTCGACCCTCAAACATGAGCCGGACGTGAAGTTGCTGATTGCATTCTGTAATGGAAGGAACGAGATTTTGATGGAATTGTTAGAGAAATTTGACTTGGAGGAGTGGGCGGTTGAACTTTTGCAAGAACTACTGGTGCCGCATCCGGAGGAGAGGATACCTGCGGAGCGTGCTTTAACAAGTCGCTGTTTCCAGATATCACCTAGGGGCAGTGATTCGTATTCTTGGGGGAATGGATCAGAAGATCTTGAATTTTGAAAAGTCTACCTCAACTAGTCAGCTATCAGATGTGAATTAAAAGATATCATATTTCCATTTATCCGTGTAATTTCCTGTGCATTCAAATCACGATCCTATCATTTGGCCTCCCCAAATACTTTATTAATTTGTCTGCGCATATATAACGTCAGAAGCGGTCTCCCATACCGGTAGTGAAGCTCCCTGAAGTTGCAACAAGCGGACTCTAGGGAATTAAAGCCTATAGCTTAGGGATCGATATTTCGCTAAGAACATCACCATAAGGCGAAAGAAAAAATAGTTTGAGATCAGTTATGCTTCAAAAGAAGCCGTAGAAATTGATCTCAGTAACATTTTTGTTCTTTTCTAGTAAAATAATAGGATTTATTATGTTAGCTAGTTCAAGAGTTTCCGCTATCGTAACCGATATTTTGGAATCCGTTATTGCTTTACGACATCCAGTCGTGATACAAGGTTCGGGGTGGTCGATACCGGATGCTGCAGAATCGAATCCCTCTACTCGTATTTTCCTGACGTTTGTGGACGCGACTGATATTGCATGCCATACAAAAATACGCCAAGCTCATGAGTTTGGGTGTATGCAATAATGGCCCAGTCTAAAAACGTCAGGAAGATACTAGTATTGACATGCGTCCCCATATTGGCATCTCGCCGTACTTGGTGGTCAATGATTAAAGTACCGATAAATTAGGGAATCATTGTCTTATCACCACGTGCACGTAACAGAGCCGCATCTTATCCATGTTGCGTCTTAGATCTGCGATTGAGCACTTTACCATGGGGAACCCATCAAGCCTTCAAGTGCCATCGCACATTGGAGAAATTGCCGCACTCAATCTCTCACATTGAATCGTGCGATTTGTTTCTCTTGGCGTTAATAACTTTGTTTCATATCAGAGGAGACAGATCGCGTGTGCCGTTTTTTTGTTTGAGTTGGGTGGAATCAGGCTGTTATTACTACCGGTTGTATTCCTCGATCTCTCGAAGCCAACCGGCCCCCTCGTGATGGAATATTTACATCCATGTAGATATGTAGGTAAACGTACCTGCTTTTATCTGTTCTCTGAACATGCAACATGTTTCAACTGTCGTGAGATTACCTTCTGTCGTGCGCACTGCGCAGAGCTTGGCCTCACGTGCACTATGTAGTCAGATCATTCAGCAAACGAGAGTGATCGGTGGATCGAATGATCGTCGCTGTGAAGACTTGAAGTGCAAGGGGGGCCATGTGCCGGTGACGTCGCATATTGTTTGAGACAAGTGGAGGCGGGGTTACCCGGGATGTCACGGAGTATGGATTGGTCTGGTGGTCTAGGTTTCTCTCTCTCAGGTATGTGTTTCTCAGTTGTTTCCTCCACCTCGAAATCTGTGCTTGTTCACTTGTTCCTGCAGAAGTTTTATCAACACGATCTGCTGATTTGTTGCGAAAGAACCCTCCATTTCCAGTCATACGTGTAATCATTTCCATCTTCACTCTTGTCACCTGCTCACCGTTATTTGTCTCAGCACGTTTACCTCTGATCCCTCTCTCACTTCATTCGTGTCCATTCCCCCATCCTCTCACCCCACTTTATCTATCGTCTACAACCACTATCCTCACCCTCGCCATCTATCCAGCTAACCATCTCTTATTCCGTGGTTTGTTTCTCAGAAGAGCCTTTACTTGAACCAAGACTGGAGTCGCTATTGAAGTATTTCACCTTCATTGATCCACTGCTCTTGGCTAGATAATCTTCCATCGTTATGACTACCACCCCAACTCCACCTGGGCTTGTTCCACCGCCCGTGCCCAACCGCGTTCTGGATGACCCTGATGACTGGGAGTACTTCGGTGAAGGAGCAAACAATGCCCTGTACCGGTATGTGGGAGCGGACACATTCTTTGTTCGTCCATCTCTCCTTCATTTTTCTTCCCCACCCCCGACGTCTAACCTCTGCCTAGAAACCATATCTCCTGCGTCTTCGAAAGCTCTTACCAGGATCGCCTACGACCCAAAAGCTCCACAATCACCTGCACGGGCGCTTTGGCCCATTGATGGGCGAATACCTAATGCGTACTGAGATTATCGCACTCTCGTCGTTCCTGATCCCCGCATTGAACTTACTTCTAACTGCGATCGATGAGGACGAGCAACCCACTGACTGGGCTGGACGCCCTGTTAATCCGCCCAAGAAGAAGAGACGACTTTTGGATGAGAAAGAACCCTGGGGTTTGCTAGTGGAGGACATGAGTTGTGGGAACTACCTTTATCTCTACCCACCAGCTCCCCCGCGCCGCCAGGCGGAAATAGATGATGATGAGGACGAAGATATGGACATGGAGGGTGAAGATGAGGGTGAAATCTGGAAGGACATGGCCATGATTGAGTTTAAACCCAAATGGTTAACCCAATCTCCCAATGCTCCGGCAAATTGGAAATTATGCCGGACCTGCGCTGTGCGCTTTATGCAGTCCCACAAGAACAAGGAGCGCCAGGGGCAAATTGAAGAGGAGCACGAATCTGAAGCCGCAGAATTCTGCCCGCTTGATCTCTCCTCCGGCGATCCTGCACGTATTGAAAAGGCGACCTTTGCAATTGTCAACATGGACAACGCGGTCATGATTGCTGACCCAACGCCGCCTTCCGACGACGATGAGGCCGAAGACTCCTCTCCGCTGCCACCAAACATCAATGAGCAACTTGCAGGGGCACTCTCAAACTCGCTGGTTACTCTCCTTACAAACTTTTTCCGAACATCGCCCGTCATCCCGCTTTTGACACAGTTGCAATCGCGCTTTGGGTCTCGTGGCGTATTCACGTCCGCCACGCTGCAGTTGATGGGCGATAATGAGACGCTGCCGTCCGAGGAGGATTTGAAACGTGCTGGCATGGCAACAGGTGAGATATACGAGAACATCGTTGCGGATGAGGATGATATCTGGACTGCCATGACACTAAGGGACTGTTCATTATTCTTGAAGGTGTGGGTCAGGAAGCGGCGGGGAAGGGGCATGGAGGCAAAGATCGACTGCAAAATAGGTGATTTGGACTTGAAGGGTGGAGAAGGGGGAAGGGCAGTCTACTGGAGAGATGTCGAGAGACGGTTGAGAATGGGTGGTTGGTACACAGGCAAAGGGATACCCCGAAACTGCAGAACTGGCGAGGACTAGGATAACTGGGAAATGGAAATGGAGAGTGACGGTTTGTGACGCGGTTTTTTATTTTTTTGAAGTGTGGATAGAATATGGTGCTTTTGCAAGTATATATTTTTCCCGTTAAGGGAATGCTTTTCTTTTACTCTGTCCTGAAACCACTGAGCTAGTAGCTGGGGGAGGCTTGGAGCCACTGGAATTTTCTATATGTGTTTGATAAAGAAGAATACGGATTCTCTAAATTGAGAGTTTATCTCCCTCATATCCCGAGCTAGATGGCTGTGAACTTGACCGCTTTATATGAAAACTAGATAGTGTGTTTGTATCAATCTCAAGTCGTAAGTTAACACCGAACAAGCTGAAGATTCGCAGCGATCGAGTGATGTTCTATGAAGCGGCGCTTGCGTCCCATTGGCTTTGATTCAGACAGCTCTGGAAGGAAAGCCTAGCGGTTTTGGGAAAAGACTCGCAAGCGCCAAGGCACGCAGCCAATGGGCAGTGCAGCGCCTTCTGTCCAAGTGAAGTGTTCAACGCACGAATAGCTACGTGTAGAGGTAGGCGTATTTGTCGGTACCCGCTTTCTGCGTAAATGTAGCAGCCTTGACGTCTAGGTAAGCGGTAAAGTTGTTGGGGGTTTATTTTAATTGCACCTTCTCTTTTTTTCTTCAGACATCAGATTTACCCCCGTTCTTTTCGAAAACGAGAACCTCCAAAAAACGAACGAGATTAATTTAAAAATATAAAGGCCTAACAGGAATCATGGCAGATTTGGCACTGGGAATACCGGGTCTTGTTGTCCTCTGCATCCAGTAAGTGAGCCTTCTTGCTTCTTCTTCTTCGAATACTACATGTAGCTCGAAGACTCACGCATCCCCAGGGCCGGGCAACGCATCCTCGAAAAGTGCCGTACCTTCAAGAACTACGAAACCGAGCTCGCCGACCTCTCCCTCAACGCAGAGGCGCAATGGCGCCAGCTCGAAGAAAAGATCGAATTCATCGCCATAATCGAGTCTTCCCTCGAGCCCGGCGACCGCGACCACTACGAGCGAGTCATCACAACTCTCAGAGGAAAACTCGACGATATTAGAGCCCGCATCGACAGCATTCCCGAAAAGGCTTCGGGCTTCCTCACGAAGCTCAGGTCGGCCTTTAGAGCCGGAAAGGGCGGGTTTAGGAAGCTAAAGCTCGCGATTAAGGAGTTTATGGAGCTGCACCAGATATTGCTGCCGTCGTTTTATCTGCTGGCGCGCGTGCACGGGAATGAGGTAGAGCAGCGGATTAAGGACGGGCCGGCGAAGAACAGCGCGTCGATATCGACGGTGAAGAGCCTGCGGAAGGCAAGGGCAGACCTGGAGCTGACCGGCGGGGGCGGGAGGTCGGCATCGCCAGGCACGGAGGAGCGCATGAAGCAGACGAAGAAGGATATCAATAACGCGGTGAAATACGGTGGCGCGGACAACACGTACTGGACGGATCGGGGGTCGATCAAGTTCACACCGGTGCAGACGCACGAGTCGCGGGAGACGAACCGAATGGTGCTGATCGACTCGATACCGTGTGATGGCCGGGACCGCGGCGCCGTAAACGTCATAAAGGACCTACAGGGGCTTGCGCTGGTGCTGCAGGCGATTAAAGACCCACTGACGCTTGGGATGCTGTCGTGTGCGGGGATTACCAAGGTGTACGGCAAAGACGGACGGCTGGTGACGAGCTTGGAGATGGTGCTAGAGGTGCCGAAGGAGCTGCGGAACCCAAGGTCCTTCAGAAGCCTGCTGTCCGGCGGCGCAGAGATAGACTTTAGTATCAGTGAGAAAGTCAACTTTGCGAAGCAGCTCGCGCGCACAGTCTCGTTTGTGCACTCTGCAAACTTTGTGCACAAGAACTTCCGGCCCGAGACGATCATCGTATTCGACACGCGCGGGACTGACTACCCGCGCATCGGCACGCCGTTCCTTGTGGGCTTTCAGAAGTTCCGCGTGGCAGTCGGCGGGAATACGGCGAAACTGGGCGACACGAACTGGGAGAAGAACATCTACCGGCACCCGGAGCGACAAGGCGAGTTCCCCGAGGAGGTGTACCGCATGGATCACGATGTGTACAGTCTTGGTGTGTGTCTGCTGGAGATTGCGCTGTGGAAGTCGTTTGTAGTTTATGATGAGGCGGGTGGCAACCCGAGGGCGCACCCAGAGATGGAGAGATTGACGCAGATGAATGGGTGGGATGTGAGGGATGAGTTGGTGAAGATGGCGAAGGAGTTGATCCCACTGAGGTTGGGGAGTATGTTTATGGAGGTCACGGTGGCGTGTCTGCAGGGACTGGGAAGCTCGGAAATGTCGCCAGAGATAAGCTTTATTGAGAATGTGAGTATAGAGATGATAATGAGTGGTGTCTTGAGGGGATTCGAGTGGGCTAACGGTGGTGTAGATCTTGGGCAAGTTAAACCAGATAACGATGTAGAGAGGCAGCGGGGGTGCGGGATGGGGCATGGGGCATGGGGGCATGGGGGCATGGGGAATGGGGAACGGGGAGAGGGAAAATGGTACATTCACTGAACTCGCTGGAAGGGGAGACATATCTTTTCTTTATTTTCGTCTCAGGGTCTCTCATATTTTTTATTTTTTATTCCTGGACCATGGCCTAGTACATTCGCTCACTTAGTACGTTTTCATTGCATGCTTTGTTCTAGTATTAGCCGTCACAAACGGATCTTTACCTAACTGCTTTTTCATCCCATAGTATGATATCCATGAATCAGTTGACCTGCAAGTCCTGCACCTGCATCTGCACGAAATTGGTTCTCGGGGAAGGGATTGATTGCCGAAAAGTACTTCGTGAAGGAAGCCAGCCCCAAGCTGGGAGGAAAGACACACTTCAAGAAATGTAAGGTTAGGAGCGAACCAGGAATTTAGTATAGATTTGGTTATGGAAGAAATGCTTAAGCTCGGTGTATGATTATTGAATGATATGATAATTAGAATAGAAGAAGAAAAGAAAGTAAAATATAAAAGAAATAATTTAGTAGCTGCCAAAGACGAAAGCCAACTAGCTAGCGAGAACACAGTGTTCGCTATGACCTGTCCTTCGACTCCGACCGCGATTTGTGCTTGCATTAAGACTTGTGTAAGTACCCGCAACTGAGTAAGTCAACCTCTTTCGTGACTACATGTAGCTGGTTTGTTGCAAGTACTCTGTATCTGGGGTTTAATTCATCCGGCCACCGTGTGTGTTCATGCCCATGTAGTCTCGATGTAGAGAACTGTTCCCTTATTTCCCGAGTTTATACGGCCGAAACGCGGGAAGAGTGATATAACATGATTCGGCGGACACGCGGTTTCTGCCCGAGAGCCGGTACTGGTCGCTAGTCCCCGTTATTTAGCTCACTGTAGTGGAGTTTGATACCCCGCCGTCGAATTAGCAGATACAGTAGGGGATCCCGGGCACGGCGCGTCAGAAGGTTTAAGTACATACATGTAGTATAGACCCTCTCACACCCCCAGTTGGGCCTTCGCTTGTACTAGCAAGTCTAGGTGAGGCAGGGATCCATCCAAGTAGAGATCACAGCGTCTCACTCGCAGCACGGCCCCTGATAGCAACTCATCCCAGCAGCTCTCTTCGATAGCTCAGGGTTCATCAACATGACTAATCGCATACCCGAGTGAGATTCCATGACCTTGGACGCCTTCTATATTAGGCATAGTACACACTCCACACAGGTAGGGATAAAATAGTTTGGGCTGTACTTTGAAGTAATCTTTGGTAGTATAGTGGTTAGTATACTCGCTTGTCATCTGATGAACCGCGAGTGACCGGGGTTCAATTCCCCGCCAGAGAGTGAAATGAAAGTTGTACCTCTAGTGTGTTAAGCACTAGTGTTCGAGTTTCTTTTTGGGGTTTTCTTTTTGGAGCGTGGAGAGCGGAGGGGAAAGGGTTATTGGGGGTGGCGGTGGGGGTTCAGGTGTTTTTTCCCGGCTGGGGTTTGGACTTGGGGAAGAGAGAGCTTGTGGTTTATAGTATGGGCGGAGTGGCATTGAACTTTTCAGTATTACTCACGCACTAAAGTCGACTGTCGATATAACGATACGTTCGGGACCGCAATCCCTACTTGTTCTTATAAGACGAGTATCGATATAGAAAATGAGCAAGGAAAGATAGTTAAAACAGTATTTCGAGACCATCGATTGCTATCCCAATAACGAGAGTATCACTACATGTATACCCAGTATCACCATATGAAGTATCACCAGAACGAGTGTCAACTGTTTCACTCAATGAAGCCGAATTACCTTAAGAACGTAATATAGAGAAATAGGAATAAAACCGGGGAGGCAGTTACTATTTTATAGTCCGTAGGACTAGGTTTTAGTAGCTTTTCCCCTCTAAGAAATCGTGTAACCTTTCGTACCTAAATCAGATTCCACCCCTCGAGGAGCACACGCTCCACAACGTAATTTTTCTCGGCGTAAATATATCCTCGGTGCCGAGAAAATCTTTTTCATTGATTTGTGTGCCAAGAGGTGAATAATATGTCAGATTACTTACTTCGTCCTCTCCACTGCTGGTTTGTTTCTCTGCTCGAACAACATCCATCATCCCCACACTGTACCATCATCACAGTCCTAACCCACACTCGAGACATCTGTTTCGGGAAGGGCCTATTCAGTTGCTGCGTCTGCAGCCTCTGTCTACCCTCTCCATCTCCGACTTCACCTCCGGCCCCTCCATAGCAACGTCTATGGGCATATTATCCTGCGGGGCCAGGGCTCGAGACCCCACAGTCGTTCCATCGGGTGATGACGCTCGAGACCTTTAGTCTTTCCCGGTCTGCTTGTTTTCACGCCCTCCATCACCTTCGGTGCTCTGTTGGCTGAAGATGAGATGCTTGAAGGCCGGATTCCCTATCGGTATTCCTCTGTCGTGGTATGTATAACAACTCCATCCAGTGATTCAACTCCATCCAGCGATTCAATCCCAAACAGAAGATCAATCTAAAGCATAACTAACCAAATCCTCAGACCCTGCACGGTTCACACCTTGGTTGCTAAGAATCACCCCGGGCCCGCTGCCGGGGTGAGCGGGATCAAGGTTGTGGGGTGCGGGGGAGTTTGTTGTGGAAAATAGATTCCCGGGGGTGTTTGGGGTACAGTTTATCTGCCTGCCCCTTCCCCCCGCTATCTATGATTCTGCTATTTGAAGCCGCCCTCATCGAGCTTTTTGGGTGAGAGAGGTCTTGGGTCCAGCTCTGGAAGAGTGGTATGTATAACAATAATCTAGTGAGACGAAGAGAAGAGAGTACAACTAACCTACCTAAAGCTCCAAATAAGACCTAAACTCCGGCCAATCCCGGGCCCAGGAGGGACTACGGGGGAGAGCGAGATCAAGGATAGGGTCCGGAGGAACTGGTTGGGGAACATTGACCCTGGAGGCGCTGGAGGCCTGGCTTATGCCTGCCCCTCCCTCCGCTGCCTGTTTTGCCCTTTGAAACCGCCCTCAAACGCTTTTTGGGTGTTGGGGAGGTCTTGGGCCCGGCTCTGGTAAAATGGTGTGTATAATAGTCCGTTAAAAGGATCAAAGAGAAGAGTGCATATACTGACAATAAAAAGGGCAAGGAGAGGAGTATCGGGGGTGAAGAAGGATGCCTCTCTATCCTTTTGGCCTCCTTGTTGTCCTTATAGGCTGCTGGTGGGGCTGTGGGTCTATGGTTGCAACCCAGGGGGCGGGGTATATACCTTTCTGCCAAGAACTGAGCCGCCCTCACTAGGCCTTTTGGGTGTGAGGAGGTCTTGGGTCCGTGTTCGAAGAATTGTATGTATAACAATCCGATAAGCCAATTAAACAGAAGTGGTCAGGCATAGCTAACCTACCCAAAGCTCCAAGTACGACCAAAGCTCCGGCTCCCCCTGGTCCACGAGGGACTACGGGGGAAAGCGAGGTTAAGCATTTGGGTCCTCAGGAATTTGTTGAGGAAAATAGATTCCTGAGGACAACAGGAACATGATACCTGCCTGATCGTTGGTCCCGCATTTTCCTTTGTTTTTTGTGGGGCGTTTGGGAGGGGGGATGTGATCATGACAGAGTTCTGGAGGGTGTGTATAATAACAACCTAGTGAAATGAAGTGAAAAGTGCATATGCTGACGATAATAAAGGGCGTGACAAAGAAGAGTACCACTTCCAGCTCTCCCCAGATCCGCGAGGACTGCGGGGGAGAGTGAGATCAAGGTATGGTCCTCAGGAATTTGTTGTCGAAAATAGATTCCTGAGGACATCGGGAACATGATACCTGCTGCTGCCTCTCTGCCTCTGGAAGCCACCCTTTCCATGCTTTGAAAAGAGATGGAAGTGTTCAGGACTTTGGAGTGGTATGTTAACAATCCAGTAAGACGAATAAGAGTGAATTTACTGACAATAATCAAGGGTGCGACGAGGGCGGGTACTACCCCGATTTTCTTTTTATCCGGGGCGCAAGGCTGCTAGTAAGTTTGAGGGTGGGGTCTCAGCATGGGAGTTTAAGAGATGGTTCCTGAGTATATCATGGTCATGATATCCTCCCGCCTGCCTGTCTCCCTGCCTGTAGAAGCCGCCCTCACAAACTTCAGCTGGGGTATGAGGGAATCCTTGGTCTTGGTTTTTGCGGGCTGGTACGTATTAGCAATCCAGTGAGATGAAGAGAAGAAAATGGGACTAACATTAACAAAGGGCAAGGAGCCGGGTATCGGGAGTGAAAAAAGATGCTTCCCTATCCTCTTGCTCCCCGGGTTGTTTTGATAAGACTGCCGGTGGGGCGAGAGGTTATGGTTGCGGTCCCCCGGTACGCGGGATCTACCTGTCTTCTCTCTGCCCTTTGAGACTGCCCTTGATAAGCTTTTTTGGGAGTGGGGAAGCTCTGGGTATGGGCAGTCAGGAATGGGTGACTGACCCGCCCTGACGCTGGTGGATCTGAAGTTGTGAGTAATGCAGTCCATCGATAAGAGAAGGGGGCATAATTAACATCCATGAAAGGCGCGGCCAATATGATCGGGGGAGCCAGAGTCAAATGACATCCTCCTGGTGGGGGTGTCGGGGGTACGATAGACATGGGCCGTCCATAGAGGTATGGAGCCGAGGTAACATCACGGGGGGGCTGCTCGTACAGCCTTCTCATGAGGGAGAAGTCGTGCTCTTTTGCATGATGGGGTGTGGCGGGGTCTGTGGCGGCAGTGCTCTGAAATCGGTGAGTTAATCATCCAATCGCGATGGAACATCAAGGACTGTGCCTAACTTCATCTGACAGATGAAATACCTGCTCGTTGCCGCCGTCCTCTTTGGACATTTGGGTGTGTTTTGGGGGGGTACATCCAGCGCTCCATGTTTTGGTGGGCGTTTGAGGTGGGTGGTGGTTGTGTGTCGGTGTATAGTGGAGAGGGTATATAGAAGTTTAAAACTTTACTACAGTTTGGGTCTTTTAGTTAATTTTAGTATACTTCTTTGTTTTGGTGATGTGAACTTGTAGAACAGCGCTAACTTCTTTTAAACTTTCGTTGCATACATGGATTGAGATTGTTGATATTATCGGGACATCGATGAGAATATCCTATGTATGGCTGAATTTGTTTACCCGCCCAGACAGATGATACCACTACAATGAAAGTATTCACAAAATTGATTTGCTAGGATACAAATACTTAGTACCGATATCGTGGAGATTCATCAGTCTTTGTACTATAGGGAGGGTGCTGTTTTTGTTTCTACATGGTTAAGTTCTACAACTCCTGAAGACTGTATGGCTACATAGAGTTAGACGTTTTGTCGAGACCAGAATCAAGTCAGTTTACATGTATCATGTCTTCCTTTTTCAACACCATGCGTTCCACGGTTTACGAGTGATTTATCATGAACCTGCATATGACCGACACCTCCAAACTCTCCTCTCACAGTAACATCGAAAGGTTGTAGCTTGGCATGTCCTCCCACTAGAATGGTCCTATGCTCGCTTGATTCACCTAGTATCTCTAGCCTTGGATCAAAGAGGTTCAAAGCAATTTCCCTTAGAGTTGGATTCAGGTGGAGTAGCAATCCATTTTCAGATTACGTATCACTGGTCTAATAATTTACGTCAGGACTTGGCACTCTCTCACTAGCAACCAACTATCACAAATAGAAACAAAAACCACCAAACAATACCGGAGATATCTGCTCTGGTGGCCAAGTTGGTAAGGCGCAGCACTAGTATGACATGCTGAGATCCTCGGTTCAACTCCGAGTCAGAGCATCAGTTCGATTGCTTTTTGTTTTGCAGGGATTTGTGACATTTATTAGGGCCTGTTCTGTTGACACAGAAGTCCATGGATTGGGCCCAATAAAATAATTACCTCCAGAGGTGTTTTTTTATTCTAATCCAGAATCGAAACAAATCCATGGATTTTGTCTCAACCGAACAGGCCCTTAAGTGATGGAATATGCTCATTGAGGAGGTGACGGAAAATTCTGTCCTGGTATTGAAATTTTCGTGATCCCTAACCAATTCGGGCGGGTGCTTGGCAACTTAACACAAACCAAACCCGGATTAAAGCAATTGTGAAGTGTCTGAGAGAAGTTTCAGAAACAATAAACAGATTTCGGCCATGAATCCTGTAATACATATACGCCAGCTTTTGTGTGCACAACCCCTGTAACCAAATTACTCGGGAGTTAGAGGTTTACCCTTACAAAAGTGGGCGGTCGCTCCTTTTAAGTACTCTACAGTTCAGGGAGTACACCACAACACACCACCCTCGCGCCTATCCCTAACCCATACCCTCTGGCACCCTCGCGCCCTCTCCAGAATATTCCACTACGTTAGGTTGCCACCCGCGCCCGCCCAATCGCGCGGGCGGGCGGGCGCCCGCAGCACTCCAACGCTAAAGCACCAATACCAATTTAGTCTAAAATACAGTTTACAAAGATTGTAATCAATCTTTGGTAGTATAGTGGTTAGTATACTCGCTTGTCATCTGACGAAACGCGAGTGACCGGGGTTCAATTCCCCGCCAGAGAGTATTTTCAAATCAGTGAATTATCGTTTTTGTTTGCTGTTGGGTTTAGTCGAGAGCTCTGTGATCTTTGCTTGCTTCAGTCGGCTGGTCAATTATTTTATGGCTTATTCGGAACAAAACCTCTGCGGATGCTTTTACGAGCTAAAAGAGTGGATTTGTTGTAGTCTCGTTCCTAGACTGTTTTGTTGTCGCACTGCGTGCAGACACATATCAAGCAAACTGTACAGGCTGGGCACGAGACTAGATTTGTTGGTCTGTGCTCGCAGCAAAAAACCTTTTAAGAGCCAATAGGACTATCGGGTCACGGAGAACCCACTTTCGCAATAATTTTACCGGAAACTATAGCTAGATAGTTACCGAGGAATAGCCTCCTAATCCATCAGTCTTCTGTCTCTCGATTAGATCTCATCGATTCTAATCTTGATACCGTTCACCTATCACGAGAACAACGCACTGCGTTACAGTTCATCACGGGAAAGTTTAAAGTACGTGTTTCAGTAGATGGGTGAAAGGAAATGTAATATGTAATCGATTATGACGCGCGATGGATTTGTTTGATAAGTGTCTTTCGTGGGTTTCGTTGCTACGGTGTTATGATTTACCATTTATAAAGAAGAGTTGGACTTGCTCTTCTTCATCCATACTAAGTACATCCGTCGTTGCCTTCGGATGGTGCAGCCAGATGTATATTGGGCTTCTGATTTGTCGGTCTGCTGGCTGTGTGCATTGCCAGGATAGTGTACGCTATTAGACTGGGATAAATCGATAAAACCACTCGGTGAGTGATATCTTGTGTTGCAAGAAAGTATTACGACAATTGGAACCCAACACTACTTGTACGCACTAAGAATCAACTAGGATGTCGCCCTGCTCGGAATCAACTCATAACCGAAACACCAATAAAATCAAATTACTAGGTAGTACTACATGCAGCTATCCCTATTGCTGATATGTTAAACAAAATTCTTTTACGCCTCCAAACTCCTGTGTACGTGTGCCCATCTCGCTGGCGCCATTCGTCGCCGCCACATTCTCATCACCATTTCTCACACTACTACCCCCCATCCCCAATCTCTCTACACTCTGGGTCGCCATACTACATAACGTAAACGTCAGGAAGAACATCTCACTGATATTCGGACATCCAGCCTCGACGCCCTTCCTTAGAAACTCAGACACTTTTCGGATTCTCCCGATATCGTCCCACACCGTCTTGGCCCCTGGATTCTCCAAAGTGTTGGTGAAAAGCGTGACTGACGCTCCAATTAAATTGATTGCTGTTGACCGCAGGAGCCGCAGTCCAAGATGCTCAAAGACGTCGATTAGTTCAATCGATTCACGCGCTGCATAGATGCATGGTTCATAACCTTGTGACTTGGTAGTAGCTATGGGCGTGGTGAGTGGGACTCCAGCGTCGGTGTCTTGCAGGTCGAAAGCTGGACACAATGGCCTTTAGGTTCCTTCACGATCAGTATTTTCCCCTCGTTTCATCCAGTTGACCGAAAAAAGAGACATAAACTAAAACAAGAATAGGATTAGTACTAACCGGTTGATAGCAGTCAGACATGCATAATACACCAATTTCAATCTCAAAACTTGCTGCGCTCTCTCTGGTCTTCCCCCACCTATCTCGCCATCTGCCATCAACTCACAACCGACCTTCCAGGTCTCTAGCTCTTGATTCAACATCCCGATTGTTCCTAGCACTGCCACTCCCGGCATCTTTACTGAAGCCTGACTACACAGTAATCTAGACACCTTGCTCTGGATCCGCGACAACGTAACTCTGTGGGAAAACATGGGCTCTCCACCTTCCTGCGGTGTTGCCGGTAGTCTCACATTCACATCCTCATCAGCAATGCTTGACGGCCTCCCTATGCGCAGTGACATGTCCTTGTCGAGAATATACGCCGACCAGAAAATACCCCTCCGCAGCTCTACCTCGCCCTCCTCTTGCAGCCCCAGCTGAGTACCACACCGATGGAACCCAATCTCGGTGCCCATGCTCACAGCTACCCCAAGCAGTGTGGAGCATCCCTCGGTACTATGTGTTTCCCATAGGAACAACACTGTCGCCAGAAGTGCCTGCACGCCGCTGATATCGCGGTTACAGAACAGCACTTTGGGTACGTGTCTACATCCGGTACGGAAGAGGGCCAGCGCAGTCTTTTCGGCAGCTTTGCGCTCTGCAACAGGCTCGTCAACGGGATTGGAGAGTAATGAGAGAGCGAGGATGGTATGTAAGGATATGAGCCACGAGGGCGAGGCCCGATGCCCGTTTTGCAGGAACATAGCAAGTTCGGTAGAGAATCGGGATCGTGAGAAGATGGGTAGGGCACAATTGATGCGGTCAAAGTAGTCTGGTTGGTACCGAAAGAGTAATTAAGGCAAAAGTAAGTAAAACTTGTCTATTATGATTCACTCCGGATATACATATATCCTGAGTGAATAGGGGGGAGATCAGTATTATACGATTTCTTACCCACCGTTAACAAGTTTCCTCACCACCTGCCTTGACGGCAACGGCTCCTCCTCCCCCGGAGGAAGGCCGGTCATGGAGATATCAATTATACTCCCGCTTGGAGAATTCAGAGTCCACTTTGTGATCGCCGCCCGATTCAATGGATCAAAGAAATGAGGTTCCCCAAGCTTCTCACACACCCACTGCATCCCGCGCGGTAAAAACAGTGAGAATACCGACGATTCGCCGATAAACTTAAGCTTTCCTTGAAAGTCCTCAATCAAGCCTCCATCTGCTGTAATCTTTCCTGTTGTCGCTTCCTCGTCCGATACTTTCCAGTGGTAGAGCGCTCGGTGTTTCTGTGGGTTAGGGTTGTGGCTATTTTGCTTGGCGGTTAAATCTCCCCCGACGGCAGCGGTCTCGGCGATGCCATGGCGCCGCGGGCGTTTGGGTGTGACGTCGGCATGTTCCGGATCATCTTGCGGCGACTCCTCTTCGCGAGGTATGGAGGATAAGCGATTCGCGAGGTGTTCCTTAACGGCGCGCTCGATTCTTTCCAAACGCTCTTCGAGATTAACGGCGGTTTCGGCATCAGGGCTTTATTTTTGTCAGCTTTGTGCATGTGGGGGCGAAACTGGGGAGGAGGTGTCATCATCATCATCACACATACAGATGTTTTGAGGACTGCGAGGACGAGGCACGCTTTCTCGCAGTCTTAGTAGGGGTGTTGTAGACGCAGTGGACAGAGGAGTTCACGCAATGTCGGCAACCTGAAATCCGGCCGTCGCATTTGATCTATCCGGGACAAGTCAGAGAGAGAAAGAGCGGGTGAGTGAGAGTGTGTGTTTCGGAGTTAGAGGAGATTGGAAGAGGGGAGGGAAGGGAGGGGGGAGGGGGGGTGGGGAAGTAGAAAAGAAGGCTTACCTTTCGGCGGCGACACTCGTCACAGGCTCGGAAGCGCGCATACTCGGACTGGGCGGAAGCCGAGGAGGGCGGAGGAGTACTGGTGTTTGTGGGGGAGGCTAGAGTTTGCATTGTATGTAGTGCTGATTTGTGCGTTGGTGGTAGGTTATAAAAATACCAAGGCAAAAGTCGCGGGGGCTTTCGTTGGGGGGTGAGGGTTGGGATGGATGGATGGGAGTGCTGCTCTCTCTCGCTTTCTCTCTCTACCTATGCATGCCGTAGGACGTAGGTAAGTACAGTACCTGACCAACTATTTGATCACGGCTATGACCCATCATAAGCCCATTGGTAGGCAAATATGTATGTACGTAAGCTACAGCAACAGCTATGTACCTAGAAAGTGGTATCAGGTATTGCTCTCTTTCGCTGCGGAGTCAGTGGAGGGGAATTCGCTTGAATTATATGATTAGTGATTCTCCATCAGAGGGGAGGCCGAGGGTCGAAAGGGAAGGTACGGAGGAGATGGGAATGATCGCGTGGAGGGTTAATTATGCCCATGATACAATTGAGTGCCTGGCTGACGAAGAAAAGCTAATTAATATCCGAGAAATGTTAGGGACATGACAGCATCCCCCCTGAAACACATCACAGTTAGATACCTGAGTCTAGGTAGACTGCCTAGCTACATACATCATGTAGCAAAGCCTCACGGGTTCCGTAGATGTTTCGGCTCGGCCACTTGTGAAAATGCGAGTACCGTTCCCGGGATCTCATCTGCCTAGTGGCCTACACACACATACAACCTAGCCTGAAAAAAAAACAGTTCCAACCAGTACCGTACTTGGTCTCAATCTACTAATCTCCCCTAACTCCTTTGCGGCGCAGGTTAGACAGAAACATCCAGTAAACTAGGGCCAATCTACCTGTATTAACCCAATTAGCCCAGCCAGTCGTTCTCCTGCACCTCCCTAATCAGACTAATCTAACCTTTGGTTATCAGATGGTGGCCCTGGAAAAGGCTTATCGCGCGCCATCGTGCAGGGATCATTACCCATATGCGGAACCCGAGCGGAACCCGAGACCACCGAGACGAAAGAGTAAAAACTGCTGGAAATTCCAGGAAGGAAAAAAAAGGGAAGGAGTAGTACCTGCGTTTTTTATATTTAATCCGAGCAGTTGGTCACTTGCTTGCTACTTAACTTGGCTTGCAACATCATACTTCGATCTTCCTGCTTGTGCCCTGCCTCGAGCTTGCTAACTAACTAATTACTCTCCTTTGGCATCTGAAGGGGATTTATTGTTATTTATTGAGTTTTTTATATATACTCATAGCTATATATCGTGCTATATTTTATTACGCCAAGTAGTACAGCACGTCCGGTCAACAAAACAAAACAATGTCGTTCAATGAGAAGACGGGCCCGCCGCCCTCAATGGCAGATACACTCAAAGAGACAATCGAGGACCGAAAAAGCGATTTCGGCAGCCGTCCTGACACGACTGCCACAACGCCTGTGAATGGATCTGTTAACGAACTGGTTGGTCCCCCTAATCCTCCTGTGTTTTGTTTTGGAGTTGAATGAAGCTGATATGAACGTCGTCTTGTGTTAGACGACGGTACGGACTGAAACTGTGCATGATAAACCAGAGGAGGACCCTACAGCGGGGGAGCACCTGAAGGAGCCGGAGCATCCAGTGATGGATTTGGCGAATGGGATTGTGGCATGGGATGGACAAGATGACCCATTGAACCCAAAGAACTTTCCGTCGAAGCTTAAGTGGACGATTTTGGCGTTGGTTAGTAGTATTACGTTGGTCAGGTATGTAGTCTCTCCATTCTTCAATTATTTATATGGTTTGCTGATGTGCTTGAAGTCCGCTGGCATCTTCTATGTTTGCGCCTGGTGTTGGGTTTATGAACAAGGAGTTTGGGAATACCTCAACTATTCTTTCCTCATTTGTCGTCTCTGTTTTCGTCCTTGGATATGCCGTAAGCTGCTCTCCCTTTTATAAAAATCATTGACCCTACTAACATGACAACCCCCAGGTCGGTCCTCTCCTCCTCTCACCCCTTAGTGAGATCTATGGTCGTGGTCCCGTCCTAAACTACGCCAATGCTTTCTTCGTCGTCTGGCAGATTGGTTGTGCCCTCGCTCCTAACCTCAACTCCCTTATCGTCTTCCGCTTCTTTAGTGGTATTGGTGGTTCGGGTTGTCTTACTATCGGAGGTGGTGTTATTAGTGATCTCTTCCCCGCCGAGCAGCGTGGAAAGGCAACAGCCATCTATGCAATGGGCCCACTCTTTGGCCCTGTCATTGGCCCTATCTGTGGCGGCTTCATCGCACAGCGTGTGGGCTGGAGATGGGTGTACTGGGTCCTCTTGATTGTTTCCGGCCTTGTTACTGCTCTTATCTGGGTGTTTAACCGCGAGTCCAACCCGAGGGTGCTGCTGGCACGGAAAACAGCGGCGCTGAAGAAGGAGACCGGGAACGAGGGTCTCGTCAGCTGGTACGACAGAGAACATGTTGGCCCGCCACTATCGCCCATCGCCGTTCTCACGCACGGCCTCATGCGCCCCTTGAAGCTCCTTATCATGTCCCCAATTGTTGCACTTCTCTCGCTGTACATGAGTATTACCTACGGGCTCCTATACCTCCTCTTCACGACCATTACCAGCGTGTTCCAGGGCCAGTACGGCTGGGAGCCCGATATGACCGGTCTTGCCTACCTCGGCATCGGTATCGGCCTCTTCCTCGGTGTCGGTGCTGTCGCAAAGATCTCGGACGCAACCGTTATCAAGCTAGCGAAGCGCAATGGCGGTGTTCCGGAGCCGGAGATGCGTCTGCCGTCGTGTATGATCTTTGGGATGTTCCTACCCATATCGCTGTTCTGGTACGGGTGGGTGACAGAGAAGCATGTGCACTGGATTGTCGCCATCATCAGTATGATCCCGTTCGGCTTCGGTATGATGGGTATATTCATCCCCGTCCAGACGTATCTGATTGATGCGTTCCCGGAGTATGCGGCCAGTGTGATTGCGTCCCTGACGGCGACGCGTAGTTTGTTTGGTGCGTTTTTGCCGATGGCAGGGCCAAGCATGTACGGAAAGCTCGGGCTTGGATGGGGCAATACGTTGCTGGGCTTCTTGGGGTTGATATTGGTGCCCTTTTTGCCGTTCATTTACAAGTACGGGAAGACCATCAGGACAAAATGGCCGGTGGATTTGAGGTAGCGGCTGCCAGTGCGTGGCTGGATGTTAGATTTCGTCTCTTTCTTTCGTACCTTCTTTATCAATATTTATTTATTCTTCTCACTTTTCTTATGGCATGCATGGTGGTTTATGATTATTTTTCTATTATTTACACTCAACGTTAATTTCTTGTACTCATGTACTATTTATGTATCAAAATCTCTGATTTCTGGGATATAGATTGATAGATTACCTAGATCTCTCCCTCTCTCTATAATGCGCTTTATGTATCTAACTGCTTTTTTATGCATGATATATCTACCCAGACATTTGTTCCGGGGAGAGAAAACCTTGGCTATGCAGCGATTTTGTGATAACATAAACCCCAATATGATGATGTTAGTGACTTTTACTTGGCTCGACGCAATCTAAATATATTCAGGGTTTATAATCAGGCATGTGATACGCACCTCTGTTATTTCTTACCCCACACAATCGAGAGTTTCTTTATATCTCCCCAATTAATCATCAGTGGGTACTGGTGATATAAAATCCATCTCAATTCCGATCATCAGACCTTCTCAAAACAAGATATTGTTTCATGAATCACTAGCGATTAGAAGAACACTAGTCACAACAACTGGGATCGAGACACGATAACAAACCGGTCCGGAAAATCCTTTAGGCGGACCGACCTAAACTTATCTCCGTAGGTTTAGGTCAACACTCTCGATCAACGTGATCTCTGTTAATGATGAAAGCAGAGCTTGAAATCATCCTCACATCATACATGTAACATAGCATAGCATGAGCTCACCTCAGACGCAGGACTCAAAGAATCGGTCCACATTCAGTGGTTTTACGATTTTACACAGCCAACTTAAACCTTTTATGGCCCATCCGGACCATCTGTTACCCGAAACCAACTAAGCATGTCGCCCGCTGGCAATCAATTGTGGGCCGTGGCAGGCAGTGTACATCAAAACCCACTACTGGACACTGCGGTCATTCTCATGTGACCAAAGCTTGAACTTTACGCCAAGTCAGGTCATTTCCAGCCTGCCGAACGATCCGCTGCAAGGCACGCAACGGACTTCCGGGTTCATGTTCGTACTTTTTACGGATTCCGGATTCCCGCGGGCATTTAATGTGTCGTTGCGGTCGATTCTCCGCATTCTTCCACTTGGATTTGCCGTAGTGAGCGGCGCATGGAAAAGTTTGGTGTGTTTGTTGGGTGTGGAGACGGTGCATTGTGTGGATGGTGGATTATGAATCATCAAGTGTCACTCGCTCTTGGCGGGCCGATACTGGCGGGGAATTTAAGGTATCTATTCCTGGAGTCAGATACATGTGCGGATCGTACCTTTTGATTTTCATTCAAAGAATGAATATTTGGAGTAAGCCGGGGCCTTGCCATGGGGTACGACTATATGGACTGGCGTATTATATGCTGAACTCCATTCGATTCTAGGCATTATCGCCGATAAACGCCTTATAGATAGTCAGTCTATAAAATACTACTATATCACATTTGCAAGTAATAAAAGAAGTGATTACACATGTCAAAAACCTCAATTTTTATAGGCTTTATGTGGGTAAACAAGCCCGAAAATAACAGCAAGTAAATTATTCGTGAGCCATTCTGGCCATATAGTCGGAGCAGAAATCGCGATAGACATAACATCACTTGAGTCGATCGACCGGGTCCTTCGGGCCGGGTCGCCGAATTTCAACATACTCTAGGTTGGGCCGGGTCTGCCGAATTAGTTTACCAGGAGAACGCGGGGCCGCTCAAAATCTTCTGATATATAGACCTTATTGTAGATTTGGACTTAAAATCTATAAAACCATTACTTGCATGATCCAGATCTATTTCCCTTTTATTTTGTCAGTGCGAGTGATGATTCATGAAAGAAAGGTTCTGGGCGAGTGATTGACCATGTAGTAGTGGTGGAGGTAATCAAGTCGGGCTTTGAGAAATCCCGGTAAATCTATAGCCTTGAGTCGGGTCTTCAGTTCTTTGTAGTAGACCGGGACAGGTCGAAACCGTTTCCAGACCGGGTTTACCCATTACGAAGCCTCCTCAGAAGCATTATTTCCAGAACCGAAGCCCGGTCCCGCGGGCCTGAGAATTAGAAGGGCGGCTCCCGGAGTTTATTCAATTGATCAAACCGGCCCTATACAGGCGACAGCGAGATAACGGCTTCATGCTGTGCTCGCAAAGGGTTCCATCAATTCGCTTTTCCCGGGAAGAAGAATAACTTACCGGCTCGGGATCGGGGACTGGGGTCCGATCATGAAGAATCACTCGCTGTTCGGCAGCAGCCCATGAAAACTGCTAACCGTCTGGATAGATCTAGCAAAGAGGGTGCGTCCCGGATAGATACATGTAGATTTATGGATAGAACGCTTAGGTGGTGATGACTGGTACCTTGTCCAGGGGATGCGGGTGGGCTGTGTATTTGCGCTCTATGAGCGTTGGTGCATAAGGAACGCGAAAGGAGCGGACGAAAAGAGATAAAGGTGAATGATGGGTTAGAGAAAGACAGGAACAGGCTGGTGCTTCATTCACCTCCCTAAAGACAGAGTGTAAGGCCACATAGGCCCTCAGTTACAACATGCACGTATCGTACGCGACAGTGCCCGCACGACCTCGTGCTACGTATGGTGCGCACACTCTTAAAGGTGACACGGCGGTATCTGGAAGTGGAACAATCGTGGCTGCAAGGTGAACTCCAAGGCCAATGAGAGGGCTTATTCCTAGCCACTCTGCTGTATTCCTGCTGCAATTCATTTTTGAGGGGGTATAAATGGGTATAATACTGTTCCACTTTGCTCAGTCTTGGCGCTTTTTACATACAAAAATACACAATTTCAACCTCTGATAACTTTACAACCCAGACAGATATCAAGAATCTACAATGATAGAACTAAACTCCATCACTAGTACTAGAGTTCTATCGTTACACCTTCCTTTTACCATTTTTCGTTGCAAAGTTATCAGCCATTGACATTTCGTCGCGATCCGCTATCTTTAAGAGTGGGCGCACTACCGTTAATTCTCGAGAAATCCACTATCTCCGCTTCGCTAAATCTTAATTCCGGGTGAGAAAAAGTACATACATGTATGTATCTGCACGAATCCGTGAAGTTTGATACGCCAATTCGCCTTGGTTCGGACTTACCACATACAAATACGGAGATAGTGGATTATTCGAGAATTAACGGTATACTTAGGTATGTACGTTAGCGGAAGATACAATGTAAGTGCGAGGACTTCATGCATAAGTAGCCTCGCGCCGGTTTAAAGCGGAGAAGAGGAATGCGGTCTTGATTGTTTGGTCTCGACTAACCAGACCAAGTGCTCATGTGAGCGGTGGTCAATGCCACCGGTTACTTGCCCGACCAGAACAGTCGTGTTCTTCGCGGTTTGACCATTTAGAGGAGAAGTTTGGGGGGGGGGGAGGGCTATTTGTATCTGTAAGCTGTAATATCGATATTAAGAAGACGTCGGGTTCTGTAATCGCTTACCGAAAATGTGGTTTGTAATCATAGGGTCTCACTCGACTAATGACTGCGTGCACGTGAGAACTGTTGATATTGGGCTTCCGAGTCCCGGAGTTATATATGGTTATCACTAGGTATGCGGTTATAGTAATAGTTTTATTGCAGGCTATGCCAAGAATTATATGGGTATATAAGACTTATCTATTAATAAAGTCTTGTATACTTCACTTTACCTTCACATCTGCGGATCCACAACCGATAAGTACTATTCTTCATTACCCTCTTCATTCCAACACCAATCTAAGATTACTAGCGATCACTTTTAGCCCAATCCCAAATCAAAACACGCCTCTCCAATAGCGCTCTAGATCTAGTCAACATCACTCATCCAACTCCGCAACCGCAACCTCCAACATCGCACACCTCCACCTATTCAACACCAGCACCTTCTGCTCCGCCTCTTCATCCCCCTCCAAAAACTGCTCACAGGTATGAATATCCTCACTCAAACCCTCAGACCTCGCCAGCAGCGCCTCAGCAGCCTCTGCAAGCTGCCGCCGCAAAAACATCGACTCCATCAGCGCCACCGGAAACTCTACTGTCCCGATCAATCCGCGGAGGACAGAAATACTTACGGCGTGGCGGGACGAGTATGCATGATACAGGCGAGAGCGTATTTTCAATAGGAGGACGTAGGCATGGCTAAGCCTGGTGAGCTCGGACAGGTGTGCTTCGGTGAGGGAGGGGAGTGTGGAGGGCATGTTGTGATGTGTTGTGTGTTAGGGTCGGTGTAGCTTTATGATGGAGAAAAGATGATGATATTGGACTGTTGTGGTAGGTGGTGATGTGTTTTATAACCTATCTTTTTCGGGACTGCCCTTTTCAAGTTTCATAAGTTGGCCGTTTTTGATTTCGAAATTTCTGTGAAAGGTCTTGAAATTTGCAATTGAGTTGTTGCGGTTGGCAGTACTGCTGTACTTGAATGTTTTGGTCGATTGACGAATATAAGCCATCAGCGAATGGTGCGATTGCGTAGACCATGGGCAAAGTGTGATATTGTGTAGACACCTCTCGCCTCGCCACATGGGTAGAAATCCATGATTTTAGAAGCTGACGGTGCCGGATGAGGCGTAAAGAAATTATAATAGTGAGAGTCATGAGTGGTGTGGCCAAGAGGTTCAATCACAGCTTTCTGTTCCGAAAACGCCTTCCATGGTCTCTGGTGGGACCAGAAATTAATCCGTTGCTCACTCATTTACTATCTGCGAGCGTACCAAATGCATGAACGATACTTCGGTATCCACTGTCAGTTGTTATATAATTCTAATAACGTAAGTCAGGCACCGTTTAAGAATATTCGCAGATTATTACCTGGGTTCGCAGACGGGCTAGAACAGCCCCGTGGATAGACCTATATGTGCCAACTAGCTCCATAAATACGGCCCAAATCGACGAGTGATGGAATCGAACACCTCATTTCATGCTAGGGCGTGTACAATATTGCATCATGAGTTATCACTCGCTAATGAAATAACCTTTGCCAGTATTTGAATAAGCGGATGTGCGGTGGCATTGCTTCTCAAACCAACGTAGAGAAAGGAACACCTATTTGTAATGGAAAAAGTGTCCTAACAGGGGAGGATAATCCAATTAAATACAATAATCAGCACTCTGTTAATTCAACTTAGCATTTTCTCCAGAAAGACCATTACATACCTTCTCCCGAGCTACTTAGGGTTGTTATGATATAGTTATTAGCCCATCATACCTATCATGAAACGTCATTTCAGTACCCCACTCAAGTCACAGCCCCGATCCCAGGCAGATAATATCAATATAATGAGCGGTGTTCAGATATACCCACAGAATAAGGTAGAGTATCCCTTCCGGAGTAAGAACCACCCAAGCACAGATGATATAGATTATGCAAGTCTGTATTCGTTGAGGATATTGCCGTCATAATGTCCCGCATTTCGCGTCGAATGGAGGATATGAACCACCATTCGACACCCATTTCTCGACTAGATACGTTGGTCAACTGGCAGGCTCCAGCAATGCCCAAGCGATTTCTGGGTTCGGAAAGCTATTATAGAGCACTGCGGCTGTAATAGGTATTCATTTCCTGATCGACCACGTCCACTTAATAGGTATCCGGCTATTAACAGAATTCGGAGCCATTTCTTGAGAGCCATCTATCTGCAGGCCAATTTATTAACTGACCAAGCTGTTCGTTAACATTGATAGGACTGACTATGCACATTTCATCACGAAATTATTGCAAAAATGTAAACTCACTTAGACTGTCAAAAGCGGTTGACCAGCGTAATTGATCTTTTGATCATATACGCACCACTCCCCGAACCCCCAGCCAGCGAGGTCACACGTTCCCGAGAATGCTACCATAAATTAATAAATGGGACGATACCTGAATTAAGGGCTTAAGCTGTCCAGTTCTTCAAGCCTGACAAATAGACCTCAAAGATGTGATAATCGAGAGCAAACATGAAAACAACTCAAATTACCGGATTATCGATTATATCATCTCACTCACTCGATCCATTTACCAAGAACAACGGAGGAAAACAGATTTTTAGAACCTAGTGCACTCCCTCTCATCTCTGGGTAGTTTAGCTGGCTTTGTTGATGAGCTGAAGAGAACGAGAAAGGCTCGGCGAGCGCTTCATATTCATTTGCCTGGGTTTGTTGAATGGTGGCTCGACGTTGGTCAGCGGAGCTAGGCGAGAACTATGTAGATTGATTTGTGAGTCGGTATCAGGAGGCAACCCAGCTGGGTCTATAGATCTATGGGGGACCTACGAAGCTTTAAAAAACGGGTAATTGGTGTAAGAACGGAGAAGATGTAGAAATGGTAGGTCTAATATGATTGATAGGGATGATAGGATGTTTTCAGCATTACACAATGAATCGATACATCATATACATGTCGGTAGGTACATGTACTTCCGGTTGGCCATTGGTGCTTCTTGGCTCGTTCCCACCCTATGTACATACAGACTAGCAGTTGGCCACCTCGCCAGGGCGAAGTGTGAGCTTGAATGTGATCAAATTTTGGGAAGAGCGGGTGGGTGTGGTGACTCCGGTTTTTACAGTACCGATGCCAGTGCCAGTGAGCTGAAAGTATGTGTAATTTAATGGAGTTTGCTTTAATATAAACTTCCAGAATTATGCTCAAATGATTGGGCACCACGAACAACTGTCAATAATAGACGGAGATAATATTTCTCTCCGACTAAAGGATTACAATAATACATACGGCCAATTGCAATACCGCATTTTCTAGGTGCCCATTTCCGGAGTTGTGGATTGTAAGTAAAGTGTAGTGGGAAATCCTGATAAAGATATTGTTGTCCATCTTCATGTAACTGATTATATTCAAAGAATGCAATGAGCGTTGACTTCGCTAACAGCATTCTCTCCCGTAAAGCCTCTTCATTGATATTCGCCTCAAAGTATATAGGCTGTTCATTTGACATATGGATTGCGAAATGAATAACAGGTGGAGATTTCTCATGCATTGAGAATTCAAACAAACGCCAAACAGCTTCTGTTGGACCAATGTATCGACCTTGTAAATATCTTTTGACTTCATCCGAATTTGAATCCACTTCCAGAGTTGTACGGTCGGATCCTTTGTAAATATACTTGTGAATATATTTAATTGCATTGATTGTTGCACATACTTCAACGTTTATATGTGCTTTATAACACCAGGACAAATAAGGATTATAAGGCACAATCCATCTGTTATCAAAAGTATGCATTCGAACGTCTCGTGAACCACTTAAAGGAACCATAAAGTTGTTACCATCATTACGACGTCGATATAATGGGTATCCATCTTCTTGTATAACAGTTTCATTCTGAAATTGTTTAGGATACCGTTTGGTACAAAGTCGAGGTGCATCAGGTATTTTCGAGATCATACATGGTGAATCGAATGCCAATTCTCCACATAGGCTATGCACCATACATGATTTGATAACAGCTGTGAGTTCACCATCGGGATCAAATTGAGGATCCGGCAATTCAGCACATACAATCTGGTCAATACGTTCAGAAGTCATCAATCTATCCTCAGGGTTTAAAAATAATAGAAGATGCATATATGGTAAACCACGTTTCTGATATTCAATAGTCCAGACACATCCGAGGTAACGTCCAAAAATATGATTATGTTTAATTTCCTACAAAAGCTTTTGTTGTTTGAGGTGAAAAACTCTCGCAACTAAATCTGGACGATCGACAGCTGTTTGACCTAGAAGTAACTCTGCAACGATTTCCGACCATTTAGGCTTCGCTGTAAATGTGATGAAAAGTGAAGGTCTTCCGAAGTGTCTTACGATAGCCATTGAATCCTTGTATAATTGTTGCATATAACGATCACCATCGCTATAGCTGCTAAGAAGTATTATTCTCCGTCCGGTTTGTTCTGGATTGAAGTCTTCTTGAAGAACAGCATCGGCCAGGCCATTATACAAATCGGATCAGAGTCTTGATTGATTCAAACGTATCCAATTCAGTTTGTTCTGATCAAATACAGCTCATGCGTCAACCAAATATTGCTGAAAAGCTTTTGAGATTGAAATAGTGTTAAAGGCTCGGTTGAACGTGAATGAATACGATAGCTTTGTAACAAGTTAGTAATGATTTCTATGATAATATATTAAACATACCGATAAAATTCACGTTGATCTAAACGTAATACTTTCCGATTATTCAATCGATCTTGAAGTTGTAAACTCCAATGCCAACCGGTATCTCCATTTGGAAAAAGCAATACGTAATGCAATGGCATATACGCAGCATGGTTAGGATTGATGATACTGCACATTTGATTTGGCAATGGATTTCTATGTGCCAATACGATATCACGGAATCCAGCTTCTTCATATTCATCGGGAATTATTACCGCCACCTCGTTACTTGTAGGTAAGTTGTTTCGTCGTTTATCTGCTCCTGTTTCAACTATCAATTGAAGACGTGGATTAAGTATGACGCGTGCATTCCCATCTTGTGTTGAAGAATTATCCAATCTTTCTTTTGCTGTTTTATAAAATTCAATAAACGGATTTATTGAATTTAACTCCATGGTGAGACATTGAAGTACCATAATATCTAAAGTTGGATATATTCCATGTCGTTCTTGGGCCAAATATTCTGGATCGTAGAAATATAGTTGTGCGAAGGAAGGAGTTGCTCCGATTGCTGGTACCAATGGTCCCTGAAGATGATATAATTCACCATGAATTTGAAAGCAACTTATACCACCGCCATTTGCGCCAACTCTTGTATCCGTATTGTATTTGACTGAGGTAAATGTAAGTGCTGAATTATATTCCCGTATATGTTTCCGGAAGTTTCTTAGGACAGTTTCTAAAGATTCCAACAGGTACTTCAGATAATCAGAAGGGGGTTTAAGAATTTCAAGTACAACGTCTCCCTTCTTGCAACAATTCTCAAAGATTGGTGTTTGAATTGAGCTCCCAGTGCAGCTTGAACGTTCATTTAGCCAATGCAAAGCTTTGCAGCATTGGCAAACAATTGCCATACGCTCAAGTATCAATAGTGACCATTTTGTTCGGGAAGATAGAAATGCCATTGGAGAGGGGGCTGCAACTGGTAAAACCGGACGGAGCTGGATTACTGTTAGAAACCATCCGAAAAAATATTCAATAACCAAAATCGTAATACCTCTATATTATTTTCTTCCTCCATTAATCTTACGGCTCTACGTGCTGTTCTTCGTTCTCTCTCTAGTTGCTATACAATTTGTTAGAGTAAAGTATAACTGTCACCCGGAAAGATTCAACAATACATACCAAACATGTACGAAATGATTTACATGGTTCTCCTTGATTATTCAGACCGTAATCTTCAAGAGGTTTCTCCCATTTGCATTTACGGCATGTTATGGAATTCATTGTTGTTTTTCGTTGATCAAAATTGTTTTAAAAGATAGTGGGATGGGGGGGGGAGGCAGTCCCTATTTAGAGTATTCCAACATTTTGTTTTAATTGAATAGGCCCAGCTGTTGACCGGGTGTTGACTGGCCCGGGTGTTGATCCGGGTGTTGACCGGCCTGGGTGGGGCGGATTGGTTGCCACACAGAGGTCAGGGTTAAGGTTATGGGCCGGCGTGTCAGCGGGGAACCGCATCAAAGATACATGTACCAAAGTACCCCTTAAAGTGTACTCCAGTAGATACACTATAGAAGATATTAGATAGCACATTTATTTATTAAGATATAATTTAATTATTAAGATATAATTTAATACTCCTACATTTTGTTTTGATTGACTGGGCATTGGCCGCTGTTGGTTGACCACGGGCGATTTGGTGGGGTGGATTGGTTGCCACGCAGATATCAGGGTCAGGGTTCAACCGAGCGCGAAACTGCTCTATCGTAGTACATATTAGACTAGCAGTGGAGGGGACTCGCGAGCGCGAGTTTTACTCATAAGGACTTAATTGTGTCTCTATTGCCCGTAGTGGCGCATGTCCAGCTCAAGATCCCCCCCCCCTCTCTTTCTCCCCGCCAGTGAAGAGACCTCTAGATTAATTACCCATACCCCGTTGACGATACTGCCCAGTTAGTTGGGTGGTTTGGTGGTACATCCCCATACCCCGTTGGTGATATCTCAATACCACCTAGTTTTTATCCAATCTCCACTGTTGAGTTTGATATACCGTTTGGGGGGTGCATTATATTTTGGGTGGGTGAGCCCGTTGCCACGCAGAGGTCAAGGTCAGGGTCAGGGTTCAACCGAGCGCGAAAAGACTGTATCGTAGTACATATTAGATTCCGGTAGAATTATTGCGAAAACAGGGGTAGGCGAGTGCTGTGGGCCTGCACAGGTGGGCTAGCGGAGTGCTGTGATTAGGTGAGGAGGAACCTTAGGCGGGCTTTAGGTGGGCTTTAGGCGGGCTTCAGCGGTTCACAGCTTCAACAGTGGACTAAAATCTCTGAAGTTGGGAGGTTTTAGTAGAATTCACAAATTTTGATACTCGTTAGGCGTTTTTAGCACGCTCGCCAATCCCTGTTTTCACAATAATTCTACCGGAAACTGTACATGTACATACGACTGTCAAGGGGACCACCACGTGGAAAGTTAAGCTTCGCCAAGATATGCACAGGATACAAGGTAAATCATGATCAATGCCAAGACGGCTAAGGCTAGGTATACATTGACATGTTACGTATATCGAGGGAATTACTACCTCCTGTTAAAGTTTGATAAGTCCTGTCTCCTCCAACACGTCAATTTATCATCACTCATCGTCTACCTAACCTTGGATATGATGGATATCAGGGGGCAAAGCAAATGCTCATTTTGGGGCCCAAGTCGTGGCTCACCGGTTCGATCTGGCTGCGCAAAGTCAAGCTTCCGTTTTTCAAACCTAGCTAACCCAAGATTCAAACACATAACACTCAGTTGGTCATATATCTAACCTGGAACCTTTTATTTTTTGAGGCGATTGGACCCTCATTTCCGCACTACGAGCGGAGGAAGAAGAGGCGCGGGTTTTTGCGCTTTCAATGAGCCCCCCGATCTCATCATATTGTATACGTCCCTTCTGTTCCTCCCCTTAAAGAGGCTGGTACTTCATACCATCTGGAAGCGCTGTCAATCGAGCCAACACCAATTAACGGGCATTATTGAACCTTTTGATTTTCTCTGTAATCACATGTTATACCAGTAGGAAAGAGACAGCTTTTGCAAGAAACACTCTAGCTCTGAGAATGGATTTTACCTTTATTACGTCAAGGTGCTTTGGTCCCGCTCTCAATGATTGCTGGCATGCTTGTTGGTAAACCCATTCAAACTTTATCAATTTCCTTATTTGAGTCCTGTGGCAGTTTTCGTAACTACCCTAACCTATCTTCTCGGTGTGATTATCTTTCTAATAAGAACTTTTTCCTAGAAGACCAACGATATCCACTGTGCTTCACTCGCGATACGCACGAGACAAGATAACTTCAGACTTTACCTTTCAATCACAAGACCAAAGCATACATATATACTCTGGACATTGAAGGAGCTTTACCAACCATCGAGTCGCATCAATGTTAGTGTTTGACGGTATATATACATTATTATGATGCTACAGTAGGTAAACACATAACTGCTAATATATATAATTGGAGTCAAACACGACGAGGCTATCATACCACCTTCGGTTTGTTGTCTTGACTCGTCCCCCTTTCTCGATATAGTACAGCAATTTGACTGCTAGTTACTCCACCGTTAAAATTCCCGGCACACCCTACGTTCTCTAAATTCGTCTACTTCCGATAAGCTCCTGGTCCTGTTTATACTCGTTTAGTCTATTTAGTTGTCATGTATTAGAATATGGTATATATTTTCCTTGACCTCGCCGATGAATGGGTTAACTAAGCTTAACTGTTGTGCAGTATCATGGCGAACCTGGCTCAATGCGAATGACCAGTCAGAAGGAATAGGATGCGGTTCTGCTGATTTTTGTTAGCTGGCAGGCAAGTACACATTCGCCATCTGAATAAGCTAGTCATTGACCCCACAACTAACTCACTAACATAGAATTAGTCTACCTTAATCCAGTCTTATTCGTTTCGCTGGTGGCTAAATGCTGCCAAATTTTGAGAGCCCACCTCCGCCGCTGTGAGATCTACATAGGGCTATGGATCAATGTCTCAGTCCCGGCTTCTCGGAACTAGACGCTTTCGTGGGTGTATTATCAACACGGTGGTGCGGTCAATTCTAAACCAAAAAAGTAGTCGATCGGCCCTCTGCGTATATTCATTTATTACTGCGGCGTATATTTGAGATTGATTATACCCCACACTGAGGTCTATACCCTATGCTGACAATACCCTCGTGCTGACCATACCTATTGCAAGCGTCTGCCTAGTACTTACCGCCAAAACTCGAAAAATTGGCTATCTCCGTCCAGGGATTAAGTGATTGGTTGAATTGCATCGATCTGCATCAGAGGTTTCCCGTATAAGTAATTTTGATCTAGCCAATTTTTCGAGTTATGGCGGTATGTACTTCATAATGTTTCCGCACTAGGCCTGCAACTGGGCGTAAATGGTGCATAACTAACAATAATACTTACGTAGTCCAGTCCGAAAACGCTATTACGTGCACGATGCACTATGTGGCCCCAAATGTTGAGGCTTGGGAACGAGCTCAGCTCGCTTACCAGCCAGCGCTGTATCTGGGAGGTGTACGCAGTGGCCCGTGAGTGACTCCGCCTTGACTGGACTGTGGCTATCACGGCAAAGCCACTGGATTACCGCGTAAACCTCCCAAGAACGGGCGGGTTTACATGGGCTGTTCCTCGTTCTGTGATTGGCCGATCGGAACTCTAAACGTTTTTGGTCATGCAACCAGATGTTTGGTTCTGATACAGCTGGTACGTACTCATCCCATCCACACTCTAAATATTACTATTTGGAAGGAATTTCCGGTCGAACTAAAGTATCTACATGTGGAGCGTTCATCCGAATTTATGGAGGGCATAACTTTCTCTAACGTGGTGTGCCTTATCGTTTACGATCCGTGAATGGAGTAATGTCTACCAGATCTAGGCCTGATCATTGGGCGCAAGGGTTTAAGCCAACAATAGGCAGCCTTTAAACGAATCTTCCCGGATTTTGCGGTAGGTCATACCGGGATATGGATACACATGATGCAGATGAACGACGATTTGGAATTGGAAGACGTACTTGGAGAAAGTCCTGAATGCATATCAATTCATGCCACGACCTGGAACACGTTGTAGTGATCTCTGCAGGGGGTATTTGCAAGGCTCAAACGACGATGATGGTGATATATGTTCTAGAAGCGCTCACGGGGGTAGCAAGTATGCATGTACTTTATATACAGTACAAAAATGGTGTGGATTCGCTACAGTATTCCCGTTAATGGGCTAGTAACGCGATGATATATACTGGTACGGTGTCATTCTAATAATACCGGTTTAACTCGGTATTCTTAACTAAATTCAATACTCCTATGGTATCAATCATTTCACGCCGTTTTTCCGTACTATATATATATCCTCTCTACATACAACCAACCATCATGGAAAGCTGCGGTCCCTACACATACCCATGCTTCTGGAAGGTATTCTTTTCCATTTAGATCTCAATTTCTATTTGAAACACTGTCTAGGGTGTCCTAACGGTGGCCCGGAGTGAAAAAAACGGCACCCGGACAGTCAAGGAATCTAGAAGGGAAGTTTTGAAAACGCCAACGCACAAGAAAACGGCAGGCCCGCCAATAAAATACTGATACAAGCATACTTAGTCTCTCATATATGGGCTAGCTTATATCACTTCACCTCAGTTTATATGCAGGTTTGCTGATATGCCTGACAGGGTGATGTACTACGTAATTCAGAAACACATCACCTACTGCTACTTGGGTTATTCAACTTACCAAATCGCAGAAATCCGTAAGTGAACTCCTACCGTGAAAAATGAAATGTATTTCATTTGATTGGCAAGACTATCCTGTGTACGTTACCTATACTTAATGGTAACAAATCACAATTAAGACGTACCGCTAACGACTAAAATCCTATATATGCATAATATTTTACGGAATTGACGCTTTTGGTCTCCGAACTTGCGTCAATATCTACCTCTGAAACCTGTTGGGAGTAAAATTTCAATTTCAAGCCTTAGCCTCAGCAGCCGGGAGTGTGGTCCATGAGGAGGCACGAGGCGAGGTTTGAGAGTGTCCTCGAGATGCCTTGTCCTCGTTGACCTGTCCTTATCTCTTTTGGAAGTCCGACACTGCAATCCTCGAGAACGATAAAAAATGCTTCCGGAAGAGCAAAACGTGGTATTTATTTAAAATAACAAGCATTTTATCCTTGATCTCATCTCAATCGGACATATTGAAGCCAAGAATTGTACTCAGAAGTCCTCGAGGCAAGGACCAAAGAACACAAGGATCAAAGAACACAAGGATGCTCACCTAGTGGACCGCACTAAAATTTACTGTTGCTGTTACTGTTACGGTAAAGGCTAACGGGCGGCAATCACAGTTTTAGTTGTGGATATATCCCCAAAATGTGCTGGCAAAGGGGTAACTACAAGGCTTAATGATCGACTCGGAGAAAATCAGAAACAGAAGATAGAACTTGCCTCGGCCTGCAGGCCTAGTATGTAAGTTTCCGGCCGAATAGGGAAAAATTAAAACTTTTGCAATCGGATGCGTGTGCGCGTTAGAGTTGTATTCGGGCAGGTAAGAAGGACCTGAGTATGATCCTATGAAAAGCACAATGTATGTACAGAATCATGCTAGTTTAGTAACGATACATTGCAGCGATTGGATGGATCCCGGTACTCGCGTGCCAGTAAACAGTAAGAACCAGAAAATGTGGTTGCTAAAGTCATTGCAAGGATTTTGTATGGCACTAGAGCGGCGCAGCAATCAGTGACTATCACTCGCATTTTCTTGCTCTTATGCTGGTAGGCGGGTACACTGAGCCTTTCGGGCCTTGGCCGTTAAAAAAGACCTAAGGATTTCAATAATATATAAACTGAGGCCAATTGCATGGCTGGAATGAAAAATGAGACAATGAAACCTTAAGAAAGGCATTGTAATTGAGCGGCATTGTTACGCGTCTCAAGTTGGATAAGAGACATGCTGTAAAATTCTTTTTGGGGCTGCAGTGCATGTCTAGATCGTTTAACGGGTTCTGGCTAACCTTGGATAAAGTCATTCAAATAGCCTGGCAAATCCCTACAGGAGTGAAAGCAAAGAGACATCGCATGGATATTGCATATTGAACGACCTTTGAGTTAAGACTATTGACAATTTTGGCATACGCGATATATCGACCGCACGTTACATATACGAAAGAATTATATACACACGGCATTGTCCTCCCGGGCCCAGTACGCGCGCTCGTTACGCAAATCGACTGTTTTTTCAGGATAAATTGAGGCTTGCCAAATGGATTCATCGAATCTCTCCAAGAGCGATGTGATCGCTATCGTTATCGGAGTTATAAATATACTCGTTAGTGTATTCGCAATTATCCAGGTTTGGAAATGCTACATAAGAAGAGTTGTCCACAAGAGAAGAAAGGTATAAAAGCGAATTATCTGTCCCTTCAATGTATCTATTCAACAGTACTAACCGATCTTTGGTAATTATAAGGCAGCACTCAAACAGAAAGAGAACCTCGCATCAGGAGTCGCAGAAAACGAGATTGATGAAGCTGCCCCACAACCGTGCCTGAACGACAATATTAAGGCAATCGTCTGGTACAGCTACATAGAACTCTCAAGGATCCAGGGTCCCCCTCCACCATACCCTATTCTCCCTCGAAGGCCACCAGCGGCAAAGCTAAAGTCTAAACTCTAAAGTGGATCTGAGGATTTTTTGTCACTGCAAAATCTCCACCGGTTATAATCTTTACCGGCGATCTTTAAACTGGAATGGACAGAGTGTGATATTAATTATCAATAACCCCAAGCACATCTTTACTTTGTCCATATGTACTCCACCTTAAAGCTACTTCAGCATTTTATTTTTCTATTCGTCTACACTCGTTCTGGATACCAATATAGTCCCTTTTGCATCTTCGCCTACCCTCGTCCACATCGTCCCTTTTGTGCCTTCATCTACGCCCGTTCACCGGCTCGTCCTTTCGTATCTTCGTCTACACTCGTTCACCTGATCCCTTTTGTTTTACAACGAGTACTACGCCCGTTCTGTGCGTATCACTACACTAGATCGAGATCGAGTCCTGTTGTGTATTCATTCTCTACTATCCACATTCTATAAGCTCGAGAGGCTTTTATAGCAACACATCACACGGTCGAGAAAGTTTGAGGATCTTTCAAAGGTATGCGGATTGAACCTCTTAGAAATTCATCTGGCACACATTTAGGCCCTGTAGTATCATGGCGGGCCATATTCATTGGGTGTTTTGTTTCTTTTTGCAGTTCAATATATATCGCATGTTGTACAGTACCTCTTTGCCTTATTTTCCTTGCATACTTACGATTTGATCATTTCAACTAGATTATTGTTTTTAATTTTTACTATCATTAAATTTAATGTTATTAGAGCTACTACACAGCTACCTAGCCTTTTCTTGGATCCAAGTTGTTTTTTTGTATGTTTATCGAAACAATCTTAATACCATATTTTGAAGAAACTTGTAGCGCCATCAATTCGAGTTCTTTATCCCATTGCACGCGCGGCCACCTCTCTTGGGACATTGTTTAAATTATTGGCAAAAAAAAAGATTTTTTTTATTAAACCATGATATACTGATACTGCTCCCCGAGTCTCACCCAGGGGAAAATATTTATCATCGAATATACTTCGGATCCGACCAGCCAATTAGCTATATACATAAGCTATCTTCGGGATGTCTCTAACCCGGCACGACACCCCAGACTCTGACCCTACCTTACGGGCCCAGGGGTAGCCTCCTAGCTTGCAGTCGAAAACTCGCATCGCCGGTGGGATATTCGCTCGCAAGAAGGAGCAGCTACGCAGTCTCATATTACTGATCTGATTATGATATTTGCAATATTGATATTATTTTGGGTTAGGGTTGCTGGTCCACATGGAGTAGCCAACCAGAGAGCGATATAAGCTCTTACCCCCATAACCTTCACTTCGTTCAGGGCATTGCCAAAACTCCGCGCAGCAGAATCTTTGCGCACCCGATGCTTCTCGGAACTTTATTGGCCGCCTTGTCGACGATGCTTACATTGTAGTTCATCTCATCACACTCTGCCACGTCTGGTAGCTACATGTAGGTACGTAGATTTGCTAACCATCGATCGGATACTACCTAGACGCTCGCATACTCCGACCAGATTGGTAAAATGTAGCAAGTTTAGAGTACTATTGTCTTCAAAAGTGGCAAATTCTGATCTTGGGCGTGCGAGTTCAAGAGCTGAAGAGTAAGCGATTGTAGTCGTTAGAACCATAGTGGGAGAGAAGTTGTTCCTGGTGGCAAATGTTTGTAAAAAAGAAAAACGGCGCTAAGCAACTAAAATAGTGTGTTATGCATGAGACTAGCATATGTCACTACATGTACAAGGCTCTGGCATAAGAAAACAGAACTGATGCACTGGCGAACACCAAGAGACAAATCCCCGATCTGCAACACTCCAATCCTTCTGGACAGACAGGAATTCCAACCCAGACATCAAGTCAGATGGGTGGGTTTCTGGCTCTCCCCCTCCTTTAACCCCAACACCCACTTCCTAAGGAGACTAGCCTCAGCAAGGTCAGCCTTTGGCCTCATCCAACACTTCTCATCTGCGGGCAAAGGCCTCTCCTCCCGCAACTGCCAAAAAGCCGCCACGCTAGCAATAAGACCCATGCTCACCTACGGGGCAAACGTCCTCACCCCAACCTCCGCCCTCAAACCAATGACGACCTTCTGGAACTCCGTACTCCGGTGGGCCACAGGGTGCTTCAGGGCCACCAACCGCAAGGTGCTATGGGCGGAGGCTAACACACACCCCCTGGACCTCTACCTACACTACCTCAAATGCAAATACGCCATCCGAATCCTACAAGCTTCCCCCCTCGGCAACCCCGTAACCGGCAGGACGAGCCCCTCCTTCCCAACGATTTCCAACCACAGAACATACTCACATACCCAACTCCTCAAAGGGCTCCCCAACCCCTCCATGAAATGGAACTCAACCGCGCTCAAAGGCGTCACACACCTACCCATCGAGTTCCTCGGTTCCCTCCTCGTCCCCTTGATAAGAGAAGGCATTGCCCCGGAACGAATGAATCGCCATGCAAAAACCCAACTTCTCATCAACTGGCAACTATACTACGCGCCCCCAGAATACTACGCCCACCCTCTCTCTACCACCCCGCTCCCCTTCAACGAACTCCACAAATTCGTTGCAACCCGAATCCACCAGTTCAGGGCAGGGAAGAGCTACCTCCGAGCTCAGAAGACTTGGATGACCGCCCACACCCCCTCTACATGCGAACGATGCAATGCAGCGGAAGAAACACCAGAATACGTTATCCTCCACTGCCCCAAGCTCGCCCCTGTTGTTTGGAGTGTGGGAGAATAGACGACTTGAGGAGGGTTTGAACACGTGACCTTTGTGAGGAATATGTTTATAGTGCAAAGAAGATACTATTGCGCCGCTGAATCCCAGCGACAACTATGGGAGTTTGTTGCTCCTTATATACAGATAGTTCTTAGTACCACGTGATCCCCTGATTACATAATCCTAGCGCTAAGCCTCCTTGTTCCAACTATGAGTCATCCCTTATACATGAGTAATTACCATACATAACCGATGTCGCAATGCCATATTTTTACACTTCCCCTCACTTGCCACATCGTATCAATTCTGACAATTTTTGGTGAGCTGGTTTTGGTAGTCCTTTGGTCATTATGTCCGCGACATTGTCTTCGGTAGGGACGTAGAGGATTTCGAAGGTTCCGGCTTCGAGTTGTTCACGTGTGTAGTGGTAGTGAACGTCGATGTGCTTGGACCGGTCGTGGATGCGTGGGTTCCGACAAAGTTCGATAGAACCGGTATTGTCGGCGTGTATGAAGTACTGGTATTGTTGTTGGAGTTCGAGCAAGGCGTTACGAATCCATACCAGTTGTCGAGCTGCGAGGGACAGGGCCATGTATTCGGCTTCTGTTGTTGAGACTGCGACTGATTTCTGCTTCCGGCTTCTCCAGCTGATGGCTGACTTCCCTAGTCTGAACACGTATCCTGAGAACGATTTTCTGTCATCTAGATCTGAAGCGTAGGAACTGTCTGAGAATCCGTCGAGTGTTCTAGTATTTCCTTTCGGATAGAACAGGTTCCAGTCTTTGGTTCCGTTGAGGTATCGGAGAGTTCGCTTGGCTGCTCGTAGGTGGTCCTCGGTTGGGCATGAGGAGTACTGAGAGAGAGCGGTAACGGCATGGGTGATATCAGGTCTGGTAGCTATACTCGCGTACATCAGTGATCCTATTATGGATTGGTACTCAGTTGGTTTCTCGATTTGATCTTCCGGTTCGCCTTTGTGAAGGTTGAGGTTCGGTTCGAGTGGTGTGCCAACTGGTTTGCAGTTACTCATTCCAAATTTATCCAGGATCTTATTGATGTATGCGCGTTGTGATAGCGTGATACCGTTGTTGGTTACCGTTATTTCTATTCCCAGTATGAACTTCGAGTTACCGAGATCCGTACATTCGAAATCTGCCTTGAGTAGTTGTCTGATTTCTTTTCTGAATGGGGAGTCGGGTCCGAATATCATGATGTCGTCTATATACACCGATATGTATAGATGGTGGTTCTTATGTATGAAGACACATGGGTCGAATTTGGCTGGGACGAATCCTTTCCGTTGAAGGGAGTCTGCTAGGCAAGCATACCATTCACGGGGTGATTGTTTTAGTCCATATATGCATTTTCGAAGTTTACAAACCTTGTTGTCTTGCCTGTAGCCTTCAGGCAATTCCATATAGATTTCCTCCTTGAGTACACCATAGAGGAAGGCTGACTTGACGTCCATTTGTTGTGGTGTCCAACCGTTGTGTGCAGCTAGTGCCAGTAGGAGTCGTAGAGAATCATATCGTGCAACGGGAGCGAAGGTCTCATCGTAGTCTTGGTACTGTACTTGGGTGAAGCCTTTAGCGACGTACCTTGCTTTGTACCGCTCGATTGTTCCGTCCGCATTGTATTTCACTTTGAATACCCATTTTCCTTTGACTACTGCTCGGTTGGATGGTCTGTTGACAATATCCCAGGTGTGGGCTTTGTCAAGGGCATCTTTCTCAGTCTGTATCGCCTTTTTCCATAGGTGTTGATCGTCGCTCTGCATAGCTTGATTGAAGGTGGAAGGTTCTGTTACGAGGTGTATGTGGTAGTTCGGGGGGAGTTTGGATATGTCTCGATATTCCGTGTCTAACTCAGCCCTCTGACGTCTGAAGTCTTCTTTGTATTGATCGATTAATTCTTGTTCAGTGGCTTTGTCTCCTGGGCCATGTTCTTTCACATCTTCGATATAACTTGCAAGTAACTTCTGTTGTTCTACTACTTTTTCGTCATACTCTTTCCTTCGTACTTCCATTTCAATTTCTCTATTTTTTCGCTGGCGTATTCGATCTGATCGTTTTGGAGGTTGTGGTGGTGTACCTTTGGGTGTCGTTGACGCAAGTGGTTTTCCTTTGAAGCCTTTGAATGGTACGACTGGTGCTGGAATTTTCTCCCAGTTGTCTCTTGGGTCTCGCGGTTGTCCCATAGGTACTGCAGGTTGTTTTCCCTTGTGTGGTGTAGCCGGTGGTGGTTGTCTAACCTGTTCCGGTGATTCCGGGAATAATCCTGGCATTTCTGTACGGTTCTCTTCGATTGCATTTGACTCGGGTTCTGGATCAGACCTGTCTTCTGATTCGTATCCGTCGTCCGATGGTGCATTTGCCGTTTCTGGTTTCAGCCTGGGGATGAAGTCGAGTTCCACTGAGACTTCCCCTGATTCAGGAGGGGGGAATGTGACGTCCCGACTTTCAATTACCCTATGTTGTGTTCCTATCCAGATACGGTATATTTTATTACTGTCTGAGTATCCAACTATGATTCCTTCATACGCTCGGGGTGCTAGTTTGCTTCCTGCTGGCCTAGAGTTTTCTGGGATGTGGACATAGCATTTTTTGCCGAATGGTTGAAGGTGTTGTATACTTGGCTTGGTTCCTTTCAGGGCTTCAAAGGGGGTCTTTCCCTTAAGCGTACTGTGTGGTAGCCTGTTTTTGAGGTAGACAGCTGTTGCATATGCTTCTCCCCATAGCGACTTAGGATGGTCCATGATCATGCACCTGACCATTGTGGTTACCGTCCTGTTGAATCGTTCTGCAACTCCATTAGATTCAGGAGTGTATGGGGGAGTCTGTTCATGAACTATTCCTTGTGAATCGAAGTAGTTCGTTATGTCCTTGTTGATGTATTCACCACCACCATCCGTTCTGAATCTCAATATTGTTGTGCTATATTGTTTCTCGATCCTTGTAACGTAATCCTTGATGGCCTTTTTTGCGTCTTCTTTCTGTTTCAGGAGGTATAGCCATGCGAAGCGGGTGAAATCATCGATGAAGGACATATAGTACTGAGCTTTTCCTTGTGACTGTATACTGAACTTTCCAGATAGATCGGAGTGGATTAGTTCGAATGGTCGTTTGGATCTAGTACTAATTGGTGCAGGTTTCTTATGTACGCTTTTTGATAGTGCACATTGACTGCAGTGGAAACTTTCTGGTTTGGGAGGCAGCCTTTGAATGTCGTGATACAAGTTTTCTAGTGTCGCAGGGTGGCCTAACGCTTGATGCCATTCATCGTAAGAGGTCAAACGAACTGTATTGCTAACTACTTGTACATTCCAAAGTCCCTTTTCCAATTTTGCCCAAATTATTCCTTTCTTTTCTTTTGTAACCAACTTGCTTCCTCCTCCTGACTCCGTTCTAAATCCCTTTTTGTCGAGCACGGTTTCAGAGACCAATCCCACATTTCCCAAGGTTGGGACCAACAGCACATCGGTGAGGAGTATGGAAGATCTGCTTCCATCGGGAAGGTGGCAGCTGAAACTAGCGCTTCCCATTCCGGTGACAGTGTGGTTGGTTCCATCAGCTGTTCGGACATTGCCGGTGTGAGGTCGGATGTCGATGAGTTGGTTTTGGAAGGGTGTGACGTGAGAGGTTGCTCCAGAGTCAAGGATCCAAGTAAGGGGTTGGGAGATGTCGTGGCGTACCATACAGATAGTGGTTGTAGAGTCATTTACTACAACCGATGCCGTGTTGTCCTTTCTCCTTCCCTTTCTGTTCTTGTTCTGTTCTTTGAGCTTTCTGCACTCCGTGTACTCATGGCCTTTGTAAGGCTGTCCCCTTTTCTTGCACCAGGTGCATTCCTTGTCACTTGTAGTATTCCTGGTATGGAGCACTTTGTTCCCTGTTTGAGGGGCTACCTCATCCAGGTTCTGTAGTCGTTGGCGTACGTCTTCGTAGGTAACATCCTGTTTGGTCTGGATGTTGTCGACGACGTTGCTCATCGATTTGGGTAGCGAGCTTAGGAGGAATGCCGCCATGGCTTCGTTGGATTTGGTGAGGGGTAGGAGAACCTGAGCGAGTTTGTGGTCTGCGCTTTGGCATCTGGACTTGAGAGTGTTCCAGTTCGCATCGAAGGTCGCGAGATGCTCGGTCAGTGATCCGCCTTCTTGCATCTTCGTGTCTAGGACGCGGCTGAGGAGGGTGATCGTGGTGTTGGGTGAGACACGATCGTAGAGGTCTTTAAGCGCCTTCCATGCGTAGAATGCATTTTCGGCGGAGACGACTGTTGGTTGTATTTCTTCGCATACAGCAGAGATGAGAAGGCTGTGCATTTGTTTACGAGCCTTCTTTATCTCGGTTTTGCTGAGTTCGGTGTCATTCTCGTCAGGGTTCTCGATGCTCAACGCTTCCCACCAGTCTACAGCGTCGAACGTTATCCTCCAGGCACTCGCCCAAGTTTGGTAGTTGGATTGCCCTTGTAGTTTAGGGAGTCCATCAAACTTGAGACGAATGTTACTGGTAGCTGTTGTCTCTGAGGGTTTGATCTCAGCAGCCTTGGATGACGATTCTCCTTCTGAAGGCTATTGTTGTATGAAGTGTTGTTGAGTTAAGCGAGGTGGCGATTGTGTAGTGCGGATTCTATTTGGCAGAACCCGGGCTCATAACCTGTTGTTTGGAGTGTGGGAGAATAGACGACTTGAGGAGGGTTTGAAAACGTGACCTTTGTGAGGAATATGTTTATAGTGCAAAGAAGATACTATTGCGCCGCTGAATCCCAGCGACAACTATGGGAGTTTGTTGCTCCTTATATACAGATAGTTCTTAGTACCACGTGATCCCCTGATTACATAATCCTAGCGCTAAGCCTCCTTGTTCCAACTATGAGTCATCCCTTATACATGAGTAATTACCATACATAACCGATGTCGCAATGCCATATTTTTACAGCCCCAAATAGGCACGGCCCATTACGAACCATCACATCGCTGAACGATATCTGGAATAACCAGACCCTCACCACAGCATTAGGCACCTTCATAGTCTCTACAAGAATGGGATATCCCAGGAGCACCCCCCCATCACCCCTCGCTACAGGCTCCACAACTATGTCGACCCTCACATCGTTATCCACGTTATCCTCACCCCTCACACCAACTGGACCAATACCCGCGATCTACGCTTCCTAGAAAAGACCTATATTAGGCACAAGGGCTCGGCCCAAAATATTTCCTTTGTTTTGCGATTACTTTCTTATGTACATTTCTTTTGTGCTTCAAATTTGTTGGGATTATCAGGGGACGGGTTGGGATAGTTTGGGGAAAGGTTTCTTTACGCCATAGTTTATACTGCATGCGACCATTCTGTACCTAGAAACTAGAAATGAAATAACTTCACACACACACACACACACAGGCTCTGGCATAAGGTGATCGGACGGGCAAGGTTTGTAATAAAAATAAGCGAGTATAATTTTCCTAGAATACATGAACGGCTAGCTATGAGAAAAGTGAAAAGTGAAAAGTGAAAAGTGAAAATAATATCAGTACTTTGTATGACCGCCATTTACAGCGCGTACTGCTTCAACCCGCTCTGGTAGAGAATTGACTAGGGAAGCAATTTCTTCAGAAGTAATTGCATCCCACTCTTCTTGGATCGCAATGCGGAGTGCAACATTAGTTCTGCAATGACGCTGAGAAATTTTGTCCTTCATAATACGCCATACATTTTCAATAGGGTTACAATCAGGGGAGTTCCCAGGCCAGTCAAAAAAATACCCGAAAATTCCTAGCTCACAGAGAACTGATGCAGTGAACTTAGCACGATGCGGGGGAGCTCCATCATGCATAAGATATATATAGCCTGATTCACAACTTGCCCGTGATAAATTCTGCCAGAAAGAAAATAGGTGAGGTCTTACAATCCATTCACAGTAACGGGGTCCATTGAGAGTAGGTCCCCATGCCTTGTCCCAAAATACAAGTGGGTTTTTTATATTGCCTATTCATTCAGTCTAAGTCAGCATAATTTGGTCAGGATGGTGAGGGAGTCCGTACCATAAATACAACCCCATACAATAATAGTCTGTAATTTTCGGAATTTGGGTACTAAGCAATCTTCTACATACGCTTCTCCAGGTTTTCTAGTAACCTATGTATTCCCAACAAAACCCCCAACATTAAATCCGCACTCATCTGTCCAAATCACCTTTTGGAAATCTTCAATACTCCAGTCATGAATATTATCTGCCCATGCTAAGCGTTGGACCTTTGCAGTAATGGAGAGAAAGGGTTTGACGTGGGCTACTCGGCAGTGATAACCTTCATCGGCAAAAGCTTTTCTGAGGGTTCGTTCATTGACGGAAACACCAAGATCTTCTGCAATTTCCAGGAGGGTTTTGCATCGATTCTGTTGAGAGGCAGTGGCATGTTCCACTAAGAATTTTCTAATCGTCGGGGTGATAATAGGGGGTCTGCCCATCCTGAGCCAGTGAGGAGTAGAGGGCTGCTGGCAGATACTGAATACGGTGGAAAGAGGTACTTCAAGCTCCGATGCAATTTTTCTAAATGGCCAGAGTGCTATTTTATGAAGCCCTCTAATCTTAGAACGAAGACTATTTGAGAGTTCAACCCGAAGTGCTAAAGGTTTTGATTGTGGAGGAGTGGTTTTATATTCCATAATGGGTCGTGAAGTTGAAGGACTCGGATTACGGGTGGAATTACTATTCTTTTATACTACCTGAAAGTTATCAAATATTATCCTCATTGATACATGGGCAAGGCTTGATACCTACTAATTTAACTTTTCTCGTCAAAAACTTGAATTAAACTCCACCTACGTACATTGATCTTTATCTATATCATGATGCAACAGTGTGGCCTGTTGTTGCAAAAGGCCCAAAAGGGGTTGTTCTGTACTTTTCGCCCTCAGAGTCCTACCCGATCCTTAATGCGGACCCTGACCGTCCGATCACCTTATGCCAGAGCCTTGTAGTTAGCCCTAGTAGGATACCCGGTCGCCAACAACGCTGACGGGTTAGGGTTTAGGGTTACTATCGCTTTAGTTGTTTCTTTTTACCTTCATCCTCTTTATTCTCTCTTTTTACTGTATTGAAATATAATTGAGAAAAATCAAGCATCTTTACCGTCAGCGTGATAGCAACAGAGCTAGAGCACGGTTTTTTTTTAAAAAAAATATATATCTATAAGAGGTGAGCTTAAACGCTCTAAGTACAACTTTCTCAGAAAAAAATTTATAAGTCATATCCGACCCATACGTATACCCGTTTCCACGTGGCCCAACACACCGTTGCACATCTTGGCCATTAATTTTCCCCAAACGTATGCAACAAGACATCTGAACGCACCGTGAAGACTACAATCCTTGCATCTCCATGGATCCAGTCGAGGCTGACGGTGGCCGAGGCGTAAAGAAACCATATCAGCCAGAACCATGAGAAGTGGCCAGTAAGTTGAATTCAGCCACAGGTTTGATCTGCTCCTAAAATACTTTCCGTGGTCTCTGGTGAGACCTAGAAATTCATCACTACATGTACTTAGGCATGCACTTGATGAGTAAGTTCGCTCTCGGTCGTTTACTATTTGCACGCGCATAAAAATGCATGAACGATACTTCGATATCTACTACCAGTTATATAATTCTAATAGCTGAAGGCAGGCACCGCGTGCGATGCGATTCGGTGTTACGTAATAATTATATGACACAAACAGTCCGGCGGTTAACCGAGTCTAAAGATTTTAGTAGAGAGGACAGATAGAATACATTCACATACGTTAATTCGATCTACCAACTACGCCAATTGAGTTGCGGTCTACCCGGCCTTGACGGTCAATGTCAAAGAGCCTCTCTCTCTTCACCACCCAGGCAAAATATCCAAGTTCCGCGAGAAATAAGAGCACATATGATCTCTAGAACTCACTAAAGTTGTATATCTTGTCTGACTATGAAGTTAGAGGAGATTCAAATGGTCCGTTTTTTTGTAGAGCTGTTAATTCCGGGGCGCTGAATGGCCATGGGCTGCACGGGCGGGAACGGGGTGGGTCGGGGTTGTTTTATCCCTTAAGCTAACGCTGTCGACGATGCTGACCCCCCTATAACAGAGATAATGGGATATGTCAGTAAAAACACACCAAAGTTGCTTTTCTTTTCTAGGTGGGTCAGCATTTTCGTGACATATCGACTCACAGTCGATCACTCGCACATTTCGGAGAGTCTCGAGACAGGCTTTTTCCTGCTTCGTCTTGTTTTGTCTTCCTTTTTTCTAGCTATGATTGCTTTGTCTTGTCTCGAGACTTTTCGTCTTGTGCCCACCACTACATGTAATCATATCAGCGATGGTCTACGTCATGAATTATCACTCGGTGCTGATATGATTCACAATTGGTTTATTTCCCGATTTTCTAAAACCGAGAGTAGAGAGGTTGTGAGAATGATAGTTAATGGCGCCTCTGATAGCCCTCTAGGAGCATAAGATAAGTGACTAAGTCCTTTACTGTATAAAAGTGACGAAGTCATATAGTGACTAAATGACCGAGTCTTTTAAAATCGTCATTTATATGACCACCGTTAATAAATGGCTAGTAATTAGAGCTAAATGACCTTTTTTTTATTTATTATTTTACTTCTAAATTATATTATTTACTACGGATACGGTATATATATCTCTGTCCGTCGTTATTTATCTCGTATCTGCTGCTACCACTGCTGCTGCTGCCACCACTGTTTCTGTACCGGTGCTGCTGCTGATATTAGCGGTGGCTATACCAATTGGCACGATGGATCTGACCTACATACTTGTTACTGGTGATGATGGTGGTAGTGATGGTGATGATGAGGGTGAGAATGATGAGGATGATGGCGATGATTTGGAGAGAAGAGGTGGGGGGAAAGGCATCTTTATAGCTGGAGGATCAGAAATAAGGTTTCACTAGCGTAAGGTTAAGGTTTTCAACCAAAAACTACGGTCAATTAGTAGAAAATGACGAAATAATTTTGCTAAACGACTTAATCATCTATTCTTATACCCCGGAGGCCGGAACTCGTGGAAAACCCCGTTTTGCTTGGCCCTCGTTGGTGGTGAGTGGAACAGAGAGATTTTAAAACGGACTTTAAAAAGTATTATACTGTTAATTTGAGAGACTGTGGAGTTGGCGATAACTGGGTGGTGATGGTGTTTCTGAACAATAAGACTACATTGATGGCAAGGGAGTTGGGAATCGTCACAGTTGTGGTAGGAAAAGGTAAGCCCGAATGTTTATTTGAAACTCCGTTTTCATGGAGTTAGCGATGTTTTCTGGACTTGCAAAATGGGTTGCCAAACAAAACAAATTCGCTCAGGATAGATTCTTCGCTATGTAGAATGAAGTTTTACGTCACGAGAATTCCGTTTTAGACGCGGCTCCCCAAACGGGCCCTAACTACATACCATGCATGTAGTTATGCTTGGGCCGCAGACTTACTGGAACAACCTGCGTGAAGATTCAGATTTCTTCGTTGTTGTTCTAGATGCTCTGGGCTTGGTGTTTTTTTTATTTCTTATTTTTTTATTATTTGGATATTCTTTGGGTTTTGTGGGTGAATTGCGGTACCCATGGTTATTTGTTATAATAAAGAACTTATTTTTTTTGGCGTGAATTCCCCTTGAAAACGCTCCTTATGTACTTACAATATGACCTGATATGTGTACACTGAGAGAAAGAGGACTTGGAAATGTGTGCCTCTTTAGTTCATGATGACAACCACAAATACTGGAGTTTTTAAGGATTCCCCATGGGTCATGGCTTCTCCCCTGAAGGTCTGCTGTAAAAACGCCGGCGTGAAAGTCCTTGCAAACTTGGAAAAGTCGCTGGTAAATTCATTAGCAAGTGTCGATGTGCTAATGTCACTTATCAAAACCCTTGTCCAAAGAGCTAGAACCCTTGTTAGAACCCTTGTCAGAACCCTTGTCAAAACTCTTTTGTCACAGAATGCCGAGTAAAGTAATTTAATTCCAAAACATTAAGTCGTAATCAAAACCATTTCCGAAGCCGCTGTCCAAAGGTGTCGGGGCCTTTATTATCGAAAATGGAAAGCAGTTTTCCTCCGGCTCCCCTAAAGGTCCTTCATTAACCCCATAGGTCTTTTCTCTTGGAGTAACATTAACTTTGTGGCTTTCGGAGCTAATCAGAGATTCGCTGGCTTAAGGATGGGTGGTTTGCTCTTTACTATAGAGTACTCTGTCGCACCACCTGATCTGCATGCGTGCTCTGCTTATGCAAGATCCATTTACTGGCCCCAACGTGCAACGTCCCTTCCCGGATACCGGGCCTGTATTAGTGGCCTGTCGGTACACATTATGTAATCTTACATCATTTATTAGCGAAAGGTTAACTTAACATCGAGCCTTGACATGATCCATGGGTGCGGATCTGGTGTCACGACATCCAGACCGAGGGGAGAGTAGTATACTTCAAGGGATGACGTGTTTTGGCAGCTACATAAGGGCAGTCGTCCACCTTCACTCGCTTCACTCGACGAACACAACGTGTGAATGAACAGCAGGGGAGTTGAACCATGGCCAATAGGAATCAAAACGAGCCTGAGACCTTGCAGCCTAGCTGTTCTTGCCATATCTGTAACTCCTGTCCGTCAACTTGTAGTATCCATCGAGTAACGTTGAATGGCTCTATATATAACCCAGGCCCGCATTGATCTCTCTAATTTGTTTCTCCATTATAGAGCCTTGTTGCGTTGCTTGTGCAACCACAATGCACTAGCCGAAAACAATCATTAGTCCAGTTCATATATCAAGTGTGCCGTTTTGTACCGCCTGGTGACCAGGCGCCGAAAACGAGCATCACGAACACGCGCAAACTTATATTATCAGTACAAAGGTACCATGTATGTTTTTAGCACAAATGTGACATAAGACTTGATGAACGCACAAGTAAGCATATGAGATAATCACTCGGAAGGTGTATGTGAAAGTCTGCAACGGTCGTAGAAAAGTAAAAGGAAATAAGATCCTAGTCGTATTAAACAGTTTAAAATCCTTTCAACTAGACTTTTATAAAGAAATCCTCCGATTTGGATAGTGTACATGTTTACATAGGGGATTATTACTTTGAGGCTGTATGTAAAAGCCGCCACGGCAGCAGAAAAACAAAAGAAAAGAATTCTAGACAGATAAAGCGATGGGAGATAAACTTTCAAGTAGCTCAACTTTGCTAACCAACAATCCCTTAAGTCACGTGAACCTGAAAACCCTCGTTTTTACTTTTTTTATCTTTTTCGTCGAGATAAATGATCAGGATTAAGGTTGGTAATGCATGGGGAATCCACAAGTTGGACTTCAGCTTTGCCGCGGGTGGCTTTTGTAGTGGATGGGTATATGGAAGAGGGGAATCCTGAATTTCTTGTATGTTTGAGGTGTTATAATATTTTGAGGTAATCTCATCTGGGATTTGTATGGCGCCTGGTCTCAGTGTATTTTCTTCATCTAATCTCTTATCACAAAAATAATTAGCTAAATCCATAGGCGAATTGTTCCGGCCAATGACTTTGAGGAATACATACAGCTTCTCTTTTGCAGCGCCTCCAAAATTGAAATCCAAGAATACTAGCAAAAAGCCCTAAAATACCGATGCATATTTGTATAACACCGATCATATCGCTCCGACTTAGAACCAATGGACCCATACGTAAGCACAGAAGTACTTCACCTGTGTAGGTTCGGCTCTTTCGTGCCAGAGGACGTACTTAGTTCTCTGTAATTCTCAGATTTACCTCGAAGGTCGGGGAATTCGATTTGTATATGGTGAAGATTCCGTATACAATTCTTGGTGTACCCTTGATGCTCCTGAGCTGTCAAAGACGTGAAAAGGCCTTTCCGGATCCTGTCCGTGCCTTTTGATCCCCGATGCTCCTAGGGCGTCGGCAATCGGAATAGAGTTTGTTGTAAAATTTAAACCTTCGTATGTATCGGACTTTCGGGGGACCTTTGAAAGCTTTAAGAAGGGTGGAGTGGGAGGGATTCGGATTCAGAGGGAGTATCAATCTCAACTCTTTGGTATACTTGCCCTACTTTGCGGGGAGGGGTGGGGGGGAGGACGCGTAATATTTATATACATATATATCATTTCCCCGCTTCGTGTGCATACATGTATTTACGCCGACCTCCCCCTCCCCCCACAAATTGAATGCCCAGGGACCAAATTCATTCAGGCTCGTAACGTCTATAGTGTGTTTCGTTGTTTGGTGGAAAGCCACTCAACCTACCAAGATAACATTATCCAATCAGGTCTGCATATTTCAATTAGGACTACCAAAGATCCAGCTACACATGTGCAACTTTAGGGGACGCTGAGCTTATATAATCGCCGGCGGCCCTGAAGATCCTGAAGTTAACTAGTTATAAATCGTTTATTTAATTTATATCCCAAAACAAGGTCGATTCCTCTGGGATTATCAGCTTATCGATTTTTTCTTAAAATATTCAATTAGAGTGCACAATGTCGAGAGAAAGGTATCTATAAGATAACGTGGGTATCCCTTTAGCTTTCAATGCTCACTATTCTTCGGGAAATCGTGGGCGACAAAGGCGGGCTACTGATGCGAAATTGACTCGGATACAATATTTATCGCGAGGTCAACAATTTGGTTAGCAAAGTGGCCCACACAATTATCCCTTGCAAAAAACATGAAGCTCAATCATAATTGCATGATCAGAACGCTGCATCCTGATCGTTATAACATCCAATGGAACGCTAGCAGCCAAGTCGTAACGCGTCTGGCTTTCCTCGAGAGGTCGGGAAGGCTGGAGGTATAAGCCTAGTAGTGCATACAACCAACAGCGTCAGGCTGCAGAGCCTCAGGGTTGCTTTTCCCTTGATCATGCAGGGGACAGGTGTCGAGTTAAGCTTTCAAGAACGCCTCACTGCGCTGCGCCTGGATAACACATATCCGGCGGCTGTGACCCTTCCAGCGGAGTCCACTATGTGACGAAACCTCTCTAGATATCATAAAGCTTGGAAGGGTCAGCGGGATTGGGAGAGTCCTCTGGCCTTGGGTGTGGTTGTCTGCTCGAGCCTGGAGGTTTCTGTAGTTTCTTTCCGGATTTCTGACACTATCCGTATACCTGTTAGCTAGGCAGCTCAGCTAGTTGAGAAAGGGATCGGATAACCAGTCAGTAGAACTACAGGTCGGAGAATAACAAGTCAGATAGTAAGAGGTGATTCATTCCAGCACCCCGGCACGGCCCGCCAAAGCCCGGGAAACTACAGATTCACGATGTTTTCTGCAGCCTGCTTCTAGGTGTGGCATTTCGCGGGTCGGGGCGAGGCTCAAAAAGGCAAATAGTAAGGAAGAGACTGTGGACTGTGGCAATAGCTAGGAGCACGGTTAATTCTTTGGCCACAACGGTCAAAGTTGGTCCTAATTTAGAAATATGTAGCTATGAAGGGAAACTCCGTGAAAGATTCTGTCGCTGCATTTTTCTTTTTGCATATGCTGCTTTACCTTTCTTGGGGCCCAGGTGTAGCCGTAGAAAAAGAAAAAAGAAAAGCTAGCTTACAGGTGAACTAATGTATGGCTGATATCACCCGATTGGCTTCAATAAAACTACACTTCAGGCTCGAGGTGAAGTGCAGATTCGAAAACCCCCACTATCTTCTTCCATGGATCCAGGGCACTGGGAACCGACATCCCTGCTACGGAGGTTTTATATCAAGGTAGATCCGTCCGTACATGTGCGAGATCGAGATCGAGCAGCTAATTCATCACAATAGATGATGGAACCTGTGGGCTGCTCATCAGGCTCGGGTGAAAGTGCAGATTCAAAATTCCTCGGTTTTTCACTCTGGTATTCAGGGCAAGGATGTCGAGAAATGCATAAAGGGCATTGAATAGAAGCTCTGAGGCCTCGAATGCCAATGCTTACATAGTAAGGACAGAGGCAGGGAGTAGCAAGTTTGGATTACAGCCGTTGAAGGTAAGTGAAAAGAATACATACATACCTTTCATGAAACGTGGCGGGGGCGGCGGCTTGAGTTAATAAACAGCGGATGAAGATGAATGTGGACAGATGTGATGTGAGTTGAGGTAAATGCCGACATGAGAATTCAGGCTCGACGTGAAGTGGTCACGTTGATAGACGTGTTCATTTGGTCTCAACCAATATCTTGGCATTCCAATCTTCCATTGCAAACTTAGCTGTCGCTTGCCCTCGTAAATTACAACAACAGTGCTTTAATATTACATGTAACTCTAGATCTAATCTCAGAGTGTTCGTATTTGTGAGTAAACAATTAGGGTAGAGCTATCGCATCTTATAGAATCTTAGGCTGGTCCTCGCGATCGATCATGATCAAGCTCTAGCTCTTACTTAATTCAAACATGTACATACTCCAAAACTACAACTACGCGTATAATCCCTTAGTCTGACGGTGCTGCTGCCCACCCTATAATAGAGGAATTAGATTTTTCTGGGAGATCCATTATTTGATAAGAGAAATAAGTACCAAGATCTGTTAGTAATGCCACACAAAATTTGCACTTTGTGTGTGGGAAATCACCCGAGCCTTATGTTACCTCCCTCGCGAATCTAGGGTTCTTGTTTGATACAATAAGTGGACTATAGCCTCATATCCAAGATCTCAATGCTAAAAAGTGATCACATTTTGACACCCCAGAGCATACTTCACTTTTCAAAATACCACCCTTCTGTGCGCGATAATACATAGTACTCAGTACAAACTCCTATATGAACATACATATATATATCCTCGGTAGTTGACATGCACTGGATATTATGTGATTATATACATATGTACGATACCGTGCATCCGGTCTTATGGTGTGAGAAGAGTTGAATGCACGGTTTTTCTTCTCTGGCCTACTAGAAAATAAAAGCCGATATAGCATATGTAGGTTATAATACAGAGGCAGTTCGTCTATTCAGTCTGATCAGATCTGAGGCCAGTAAAATGTATACTAGGGTGGATTCCATGGCCTCCCACAGAGACAGGGAGCGAAAGTATCTAAATCAGGTATCTCTGTCATTCTATTGGCTGGTTAGTTGCCTCCCATCTCTAGAGTATAGTCCGGTGGGCTACAGCTGTCGATAGACAAAGAGTTGGTGCATTAAGGGAGACGACATGCATGTTTTCATGCATGTTTTTCTTAAGTCATCAAACCACGAGTTCTGTCATGATATATGATAGCCCCTCTGACCAACGTTATAACCTTTATACTTTCCATCAATGGTTCTTCTTGAGCTCTTCTGAAACTAACACTTCACGCGAGCAAGGAGGGGCCCAGCATGTCGCGCAGCAGCAGGTGGCCCCGACTGCGTGCGAGGAACCGATCTCTATTCCGAACCATTGTATAGAGCTGTATGTTCAATTCGAAACACTAAATAGAGCTGTGAGTTTTCTGGATCTTTACATACTTTTCTTTTGATATCGGCGGTTCCTCGAACTGATGTTTAATTTTATATGCGGCCGGAGGCCGCTCCTCACTAGTACTATATATAGTGGAACTTTTGAGTAACTTGAACTTCGACGAAGTATTATCTCTCTCGCGGGTATACTAGTATCCACCGGCCCCATTATTCCGTTCATGGTCCTAAGATGTGTTAATCTTCTACCCCCGGCCACAACCACACCTTAAAGGCCGACGCTGGAGGGAATAACTTTCAGCACAGAAGGTAGCTATGTATCCAATCTACCCAGCCATACATAGCCATTGGGTGTTGCTTCGTAGACCTGTAAAATGTCGTTGTGATTACAGTCAGCTTGAGTTTGATGGGATTCCGATGGTTACCAACACAAGTACGTAGATGTATGGATCGTGAGGCATCATTCAAACTTTCATTTCTTGTTACCACGAGAGAAAAGCTGGTATGTATTTCTTATAACTACCGGTATTCGTATTGAAAATAGGGCCGTAAATAGTTGTGCGTTCATAATCCGTAGAGGGTAGTAAGGCCGGCTCCAAAAGTAAAAAATAAGAGGAAAAAACGAACAATACTATATATCGGTACATGTAGTAAACTGGAACAGAATGACTGTAAGGGTAAATGCTGTCGACTTGTATTGAAGATAGATACAGGGTTCGTATTGGAAGATGATGAGAAAGAGAAAGAGAAAGAGCGAGAGAGAGAGAAGAGATCTAGCAAGCTGACAAGTAAAGAGAAAGACAGGACAGGAGCCCTCTTTGGCTCCTCGACGACCCCGAACTCAAACTCCTGACCGGTAGAAACCCCCTTTAATTTCCTCCTGTTCGACATGCATCCAGGACGACATGTACACCACAACAATAAGTGCTCGGTATATTTTCCGCGTTCCTAGAAGGCGTTGAATACGGAAACTATAAGCAGTATCAAAACAAAAAGATCTCAGCCGTGAATCTGGTTCGGGTCAGTGGCATATATGGGCATGAGCTTTCTCTCGGGCGGTCTGGCCGCTCGGCTGAGCTCAAATGGGCTGAGCTTGTCAGTGGAAGGGCTTGTCAGGTCTGCAGAGTAATCTATGGACCTAAACTACTGTGGATCACCAGTCATCCAGATACCTCTCAAGAGATGGAGTGAATTTCTGAAGTGGCGGTATCGGAAGGAGGGAGGATCAGGATGCAAAGAACAGAGGAAATTAGAGAGTTGAGAATGGGGTGAGGTGACCTAAGGGAGGACGAATGAGTTTAAATTGTCTATTTCCTCTCCTTTATCTCTGGCCATTTGGGAATTGGGGGGTAAGGCGAGGGGAGGGGAGGTTGGGGGCCAGGGTTAGGCGAGGAGAGGCTGGAGAGAAGGGTGATCAGTTGTCATAGACTTCGGGCCTAGGCTACATAGAATAAATCATGAATAAGCATGATCAAATAAGAAATCTTTGGAGTCAAAGGATTGAACCGGATAAGGACTAATAATAGGGAATTGGAAATGGTAGTGACATCAGTTCCATCTTGAACGGTAGATTGGTACCATGGTGACTATGTACATGAAACACTCAAGTGAATATATAGCCTCTAGATCTGGCCTGGCTTGGTATAGAGTTCGAGCATGGAAAACGCTCGAGCTTAAACTCGAAATGCCTCAGCTCGTACGTATCCATCACGAGTGTTGCCACCGGCTCTACAACCACTGTTAAGGATGAATTAAAGGAGGCTGTGGATGAGGATACTGTTAGAACATATGCGGGCTCGGTGGATGCTCTGTTTCCATAACATGGAGTTACAAACCACGTTAACGGTGGAAAGCAAGGCTAGTGCTGCTGCGTAGTTTCTGGCTGCTCCTTTTCCGTAATTACGTAAGTTGGGACAGATATGGTGGCCCAACGCACGGCCAACCCTCCGGTACGTACTACGTACTTTACTTTTATCTTATACTATGAGTGGTGGAAAGTACGGCCAGCGGCGCTGCGGCACTGTTTCTGCTCCTTTCCAATAAGTGAAGACGGAAATGATAGTGGAAATCACGGCTAATACCTCTGCACTATTCGTAACCTTCATTCATAAGTAAAGACGGAAATATCGATGTTGTTGGAAAGCACAGTCAACACTAACGCGCGTCGTCACGGCAATTTTTTCGCTTTTCTTCTATGACCATAAGTGAAACCGAAGATGGAAATAATAGAGGAATGCAAGAACAGTAGAAAATCTAAAGAGAGAAGGGACAGAAAGACTGTAAGGGATACGGTTTAATTAAAGCCTTCGAGAATTCCCTAAGACCTACATAGAACGTGAGGCTTCCATCAATCATACGAGCCCACGTTGTTCATGTAAGGCCGGCCATCACACAATCAATGATAATATCTGCATTCGGACTGCATGAGTTGTGCCTAACTGTGCTCGAATACCATATGCTGATACTGAACACCGAGACTACTACGTGGTTACAGTAGTTTGTAAGTACCTAATGCGATGCTTCTCGAGTGAACGTATTCTCTGGATCCTATAACCTGCGTTCGAGTCCTTTTGCCGGCTTTTAGCGCGCAATTTAGTCGCAATAATTCTACTAGCGACTGTAAAAGGTTACAACAATCCTAAATCATATCTATTGTTTACTCTAGAGTAGTACTGATCTATGACTGAACCGTGTACACGTTTTGGGCAGATGTACCTATAATTGTTGCAAACTATGGCCTGGTACACCCCGGGTTGTATCGAATAGCGGTCCTTTCAAATTGCATAAAGTGCAAATTACTCGCGTGATCACGCGCATCGCATATGCGGGCATCGCTAATATTAGTGGCTGGCTGCCGAGTGATGTCGTGTGATTCGCTATCTCCGCCACGTGCACACGGGGCTGTAAGTGTGGATTACTCATATCCCATTGATATCGGTCGAAGGAAGTAGAGCCTCACAGCACCTACAAATTTATCCCTTAGTCTGGAAAAAAGGTACTGGTCCTTTTTCGCAGGTTCTCCTAACAAATCCCTTTATCCATCATTGAATCTGTACCAATCACCCTCCAGTCCTTGACTTCGGTTTACTATGACTTTTAGCACCATTCAAGAAGAAGCAAGAGTCCAGGATACCGTAGGAGTATTCCTTCTCGGTGTAAGAATCACAAATAATCACTCGCTAGCTAAGTATGTGCTTACTAAACATTAGGCTCCGCTGTATGCAGGGTCGGTTCTGCATAAGGATGGCCACTGTATGAAACTATTAACTGCACTTAAAACAAAATTACCCCTTAGGGGTGACAACGGCACAAAGACAACCATATATGTTGCCTTCGAAATCATCACTGGTTGGAATATGGAAGGTTGTATGTATGTGTACATGATACGTATCGAAGAGAGTAATGATAATGAAAATCTCCTAATATATAAAAGGTCAGGACGAAAAGAAATTTCGCAAATGGCGGGTGATGATTGGCCCTGCACCCAGGCTCCCTACATAGAACGATAAGGGTGTACTGGAATATAATATGCCGGAACAGCCCTTCAATAAAATGATTGTTCTGTTTACTCCGCCCGGGAAAGTACTTCCAAAGGCAAAAAGGTTCCAGGCCAGAGTAGCAGGGAAAAAAGAAACGTAAGACTTTATTTCATTCACCAATCTGGTTTGAATTGGTAGTATAAGTTGAGATTGGGCATCATGAAATGATTCCGGTTGGTAACAAACGGGAAAACTTCTAGTAATATATAAGTAATCAAGAAACGAAATTCAAGTCCGCATAACATACATAAGATAAAAGATTCAATTATAATGAAAGATTGAAAAAAGAATTAACGGCCAATAAAGGCTACATCTCATCAGGCACGGCTAACCAACCAATAGGAAAAGAAAAGTGCATGTTCCAGTCCTGCGCATGCACGTCACGTGTGCCCATGCGCGTGCAAACCCTTCTGCTAACTCCGAACTACATGTATCTTACACGCTTTCCGGGGAAGGGAGGCTGATTGCGGCATCTATCATGCGCTTTGTAAACGATGAAGGGATGAAGTTCGATATCTGAAAGGACGGAAGGCTCATCTCCCTACGAATGTCTCTTGAAAAGGCGATAGAAGCAGCGCACCGGGATGTTCGATAATGTTGTGATTAGTATTGCGATCGATCGTCTTGTCTTGTGGCTTTATATTGCGGTGCAGTCGGCTAGGATTCTTCCAGAGTCTGGATGGTACCGACGGCTTCTAACATGGCTACAGAGAACCGAGTAAATATTTACTAAATGAATTCTCGCGACCTGCGAACCCGTACAGTTTGCCGTACAGTGAAGGGGATTATGAGAAATGGCATAGAGTAGACGAAGGAACTAGCAACATTAGTATAATATGAAAAATGAACTCTCAATGATAGAAAATAAACATTAATATAAGCTGGTAGGTCTAATACATACATCGAGTGCACGTGTGGCGGGGTTATTGCGGGGATGAATGTTCATTCAGTTTAGTTTGACCAGATCTCTGGAGAGGATAGGGAGAAGATGAGATAACAACAGCGTCTTCCGAGCTGGTTTGGGTGTCGGCTGTGGTGCTGTGGTTCGAAGTGTGTGGTAATACCGGCCGGATTCTGGTGGTGTCTGGTGGGACTACATTCTCTTCGTCCTCTGCCTACTCATAGATAATTCGAGAGTCAGTATTATAAAGAAAGTAAATGTGATCGCGGAAGCCTGCAGTTATCGACGTCCCTCAGACTACAGGACTGCATTTGGAGAGTAAGCGTAAACCTATACATACCGTCCCGCCTCTGTGGCGATTCCGGAACTCAATAACTCCCAGAACACTAACAATAACGCCAAAAAGACTAATAATGATTCCGATCAAAGTGAACACTTCACTCTTGTTCAGAATTGGTGTACTCATTATGCAGTCTTGACTCGCCTACCGCTGTATGGTCTCTGTATAGAATGATTGTGAGTGATTGATGTCCCCTTGTTTCAATAGAGGTGTGTGTAGAATGGTGAATAGTGTTACTCAAAGGTGTTTCCTTACTTTAACTATATAGGTGATATTGATGAGGTGCGGGAACGTTGCGTGCAGCAGATCGATACTAGACGTGTCTAACATGGCCATGGCATTAGATATAATGCCAGCCGATATTTCATAGCCCTATTACAGTACACGTGCATCCCTATTCCTAAATCTCCAGAAGATTAAGTAGATAAACATGGCCAGTCGGAAATTTTGGCAGAACTGCATTAGCAAGGCTTCAGGCTCAGCTTCAAAGTCTTTCATATAACGTATAACGGTTTGAGTACTCGTGCGGCGTATCTAGGCCATGGTGGACACTGGCTTGACGTTCTTTGAATGGTGCATTAGCACGAACGAGTTATTTCTCAAGGTAGGTAGTTTGGAGTTCAGAGGCTCAGACCGTGTGAGATCGGTACCACGGTCCTATGAGGGTACGATGCATGAGCATGCACCTTGTAGTTACACGAAGAGGACACGTACTGCAAAGTAGTTATGAGAATTGGAGCAATCCTCTGGCCAAAAATGAGGCTCCGATCTGTTACCTATCCCCATATGCTCAAAGCTCGTCCCGATAGTACGCGATTCAGCTGCAAAAAGGTTCTCAACAGTATATGCCTTGAGCTATCGGAGGAGGACAGGGAGCAACCAGGTTCGAGTCTTGATAAATGTAGTTACTCGTGATGTTGTGGTGTAAGTGTAAATACATACAATGCAGTTGCATGCATGATTTGCCAAGAATGTCTCTGACAGAAAAATTACTAAGTACCGAAATTTAAGTCGTAAGCCTAGAGTCGGTACATGCATGTAGGTACTTCATGTGGTTTACATATCCTAAGACCACTCTGGATTCAACACTCAATTGTTTACATAATTTATGGACAGCACATACCAACTTGATTATACCTTACATGATATGAGCCTTCGTCCAAGCTAGGCCCTATCATAGAGCTAAAAGCAGTTTAATTTGTCTGTCGGCAATTGCTATGGGAAACAAGAAATACAATACTACATGTAAGTACATGACTAATTAGATGTTCGCGCCTAAATGCGTCACGACACGTCGAGCAAAAATGCGGGTTCTCTCTTTCAACATGTACTGTTCGGTCGATCTTTCATTAAAAGAATCGAATATAAACTCAAATTGTGCGCGTGATGGGTGATGGATTCATGAAAAATGATTCAAGTCTAGCATTGCACTACACGTTTACAAGTCTGGGCTAGGAAGCTCAATGTTCACAGATGCATTGAATAAATTTAGTACATGTGCATGTAGTACAAGAGGCTGGGATACTTGTATACACCCATGACGTACGAGGAAGCGTCGCTAAGGCGGATTTCTTAGCTCGTCCAAGGCAATTTGAAGGATAATCTCTGAGGTCCGTCATCCCCATAATCTCAACGGCCATTCACTTGACATTATATTACACTTTGATCATTATAGTAACGATCGAACTTTCACTAAACTTGTATTGTTACTAGATTCTAGGCTGTAGTTTTTCATAAAAGAACACCCAAACATGATTCCTCGCCCCGTTATTAAGCAAGGCTAGCACTGATCCTACATCATCTATTATCAAGATGTGGGCTTAATCACTATTTCCCACCCGAGGGCTTGATTCGTAGCCTAGTTTCGGGAAGATAGGCTTCAAACAATAAAATGGCAAATTAGTGTCATGATTTGCGTATATATATAGCACTGCCTTTCCAAATCTACTAAGTATTAGTACCGCTGTATGTGTAACTAATAATCAGCGGTATTTCGCCATATCTGCGCGCTTCATCTTTTGGATATCGCCACCAAGTTATTTGTGTCGTAAAGAACCAGTGGTTTTCAGGGTTTTCCACTTGTTGTACCCGTACGGATTCTATAAGTGTATCGGTTCTACCTTAAAGACGTCAGATACGTCTGCGGAATGAGGAGTCTATCTCTTGGGCGGTTCGTCTAAGTCACCAATTAGTGAATAAACGGAATGTAACAAATATACTCTTTCGAATGATGTGAATGGTGATTCTCTCACTACATTGCTTGTCACACAACAGAGAGCTCCACCAGCCTACAGAGAACGAGCGGTAACGACGCCCAAAAGAGCACATTTATCATATTTTGTTTAGTCACTAGGTCTGGATTGGATCATCCATATCAGCACAAGGTACACCTTAGCTCGAGGAATATTTCGCTAGCCAACAAATTTAAAAATAGTCTGATATCCTCCCTTTTACCCAGAAAGCTATCCCATGATGTCAACGATTCCCCATCCCCATCCCCACTCTAATGTAGGTTAATCACTTGGAATAACCTGGGCCGTAAAATTCAAATAAACACTTCAGTGAAGAAGCAATCGGGTAGCCATGGAGGGGGAATGAGTATGAGTGGTACAGATCACTTCAATCGGGCTTGAAAGTAGCCCTTAATACAAACTATCACGGTCGACAAGCGCACTACGGATATCCCCCACACCCCGGGGAAATATCTCAACCGAAAAGATGGGTCTGTTTGAAAGCCACCCAGATCCTGACCCCGGCTGATCGAACCATAGAGCATCTGGGCCAATCATTGTGGTTGTCAGCTGGAGCTAGGATTATCAAGAAGCCCTTTCTAACTAGCCTCAGTCAACATTTTTACGCTTTTCACTTCAAATCCCCCCATTTACATGATGAGATTGCCTGCCTGTACTCGCAGACGCCCAAGTGGGCGATGATGAATATGAGGAGCTAGGACTGTAAAAATACACCTAAGATTAGTAACGCCTATCGCAAGAATGGTTTAGTTTTGAAAAGAAAATATAGGACTCAGTGTAGATATATGTGTTGTTCCCCGTTAACAAGCCGTGATATTGAATTAGAGAGCTCGCCTGGCCGGACATGACTCATGGAGAGAGAGATGTGGGAGAACTTTAATACAACACAGTTCCGGAAAGAACCGAATCAGCAGCCCGGGAAATGCATTCTGTGTCTCCGATGCAATGAACCAACACTGGCTTCCCATGCTGCGCTGCTGTCATTTTCCTTTCTCTGATTTATTGCTTAGTAAACTAAATGTTATATTTTAATCATTAAACATCCCGCTGTATAGGGCATGTGATCGCTTTCCCCGAGGAGTCTTGCATATCCGTAACAAGATCTTGTACATACCTGCAACCGATCGAGGTACCTGTTCAGGTCCCCTCTTGATTGGATGAAGGCAGCGGAGCCTCAATCAGCTCCCACAATACAGATATTGTACTACCTATTTCGAAGAGTCAATAAGAGTTGCCACATTATATCACATATCTTACAGATATCGGATCTGTGAAAAAATGTCTGTAGTACCCTATAGATTCTCAGAGTTTGTTCTTACTTTCTTGTGCCTGATGACCGTTCAACGGCCTACTAGAGTACTGCAATTCGTATCGATGGATATTTGTGAGAGACCCGAGGCTATAATAGGTCACTGCTGGACAGCTAATATGTCCTAC